ATAATTTCCTTTGATTTAATTTTAAATCAATATTTAGAGTGCCCATGTAGCACATAAACAATGCAATTTAACGGTTTTCTTAAAGTAGGAACGTTTAACCAGAGCTCTCTCCTTCCTTCTGCTCTGCGTAAACCTGAACTGGTCACCTACTTGTGCGTAATCAAATGTCTATAGGGGAAAAGATGGAAAAGCTATAGCCATGAGGTTCACTTTTGCCTCAGACCGACTTATTGCTGTTTTGTGGTGTGGCTGAATCTGCGATCCGCTGCCACGCGGACTGGAATAACAAATGCTGCAGTGACATGAGTTGTAGTCAGGTTCACGAGGAGTCACTGGCTGGAGCGGACTCGACTTTAATACGTCATCCCAAACTAGAAGCTAATATCTTAATTTGACCTTGAATGAAAAATGTTGTTATAAAACCTCTTAAAAGTTTTTTAATCACGGAGGAGGCAGCGCTCATTTCTGCCTTCAGTCTGACGGCGTGCCGGAGTTTGCGCAGCGTACGCTTGTTGAATCAGTGTGTGTGTGTGTGTGTGTGTGTGTGTGTGTGTGTGTGTGTGTGTGTGTGTGTGTGTGTGCAGCACAGCTCCATGAGCCGCTCCAGTCACCGCGTCTCATTATTGGCGCTATTTAAACCAATGTTGTAAAATTACTTCTGCCCAGCCCAGATGTGCTCACATGTGCACCCGTGAGCCGTGGTTCCGCTGGAACGCATCTGACCTCTGACAGACACACTCTGAACTTCAGATCTTCAGCGCACTGTTAATAGCCTGACACGTTTAGAATGCTGTCCCACAGTCAGTGTGCTAATATAATAATATAATAATGCTAAAATGCTCAGATGGGAATCATTTCTTGATTTATTTAGTTACATCCACAATGTTCTGTGTGTGAGGTTTACAATGTCAGAACACCTGCATGAGACAGGGTGTTAAATACAATCTGCCAGAATGACTCACCACCTTCAGATTTCTCCAACATCGTTAAAAATGATCAAATACGGAACATATCTTGCTATTGACAGCGTGCGCAGGCCAGAGCTCTGAAGCTCGGCGCATTATTATTATGAAGCTAGGTCACATGCGGAGGAGGACACACACACACACACACAAGCTAAATATACTTGTTTTAAATTGCATTTATTGGGCCCACTTACTTTTTCTTAGGCCCACCCACAAATGAGTTTCTGGCTACGCTAATGGTGACATATGACAGACTTCTCTGAGCTCCGCAGCCATTACACTTTTCACCTCGCGCACCCCCTAGAGGCAGCTTGCATGCACCACACTTAGGGGATCCCTGCTGTAATTCATTACTCTCAGGAAGTCCACAGAATGTAGTTAAAAGTCTTCAGGTTGTCCAAAATGCTGCAGCTAGAGTTCTGATGAGAATTAAAAATAGAGATCATATCTCTCCTGTCTTAGCTTCCCTACATTGGCTGCCTGTTAAATTCAGAATAGATTTTAAAATCTTCCTTCTCACATATAAAGCTCTTAATAATCAAGCTCCATCATACATCAGTGACCTGATTGTTCCATATGTTCCTAACCGAGCACTTCGCTCTCAGACTGCAGGTTTACTGGTGGTTTCCAGAATATCTAAAAATAGAATGGGAGGCAGATCTTTTAGTTATCAGGCTCCGCTCTTGTGGAACCAGCTCCCAGCTTTAGTCCGTGAGGCAGATACCTTGTCTACTTTCAAGAATAGGCTTAAAACATTTTTATTTGATAGGGCCTATGGTTAAAATCTGATGTTAGCCTAGATCTGGACAAGTGGGGGAGTAGAGGGAGGTGGAGTGTACAGTCAGTAAAGATGGCTCTCCCTTGCCCTGCCTCCAACATGCCTCCATCTAAAAGGCTAGGTTATCTAGAGTTATCTCTGTAGTTATGCTGCTATAGGCTTAGACTGCTGAAAGATACACTGACCACTTTCCACACTCGACAACTTTCTTCTACAATCTGCTCTTTAACGGTATTATTTCCTGCTATTTCAGCTGTTAACTTTATTTTTTCTTTAAGTGTTTTTCTCCCCAGAAGAAGCTACAATGATGTTCTGCTGAGCTGTGGTGGCCTCATGGAGGGAGCCATTGTCTAGCACACTGCTGCTAACCACTTAAACATTCTCCCTCTCCTGATAATAACACTTTACTTTCCTTGACATTGGATGTGCTACTACTAGTTTACCCGTTTAATTATAGATTCACTAGGATAAATACAATAAAGTTTATCTCTCACCAAATAGAATATTTACTAACAAATCACAATGTAACCATAGAAACATTACTTGGTGTGTGTGTGTGCGTGCGTGCGTGCGTGCGTGCGTGCCTGCCTGCCTGCCTGCCTTCTCGATCCCCAGTGAGTCGTGGAGGATGGCTGCTTATACTGAGCCAGGATCCTCTGGAAGTTTCTTCCTGTTAAAAGGGAGTTTTCCTCTCCACTGTTGCTGCATGCTTGCTTAGTATGAGGATTGCTGTAAAGTCACTGACACTAGTCAGTGACTTGATGCAATTTGCTGGGTTCCTTATATAGGAAACATTTTCTGATTGGCTTAATGAACTGACCTGGATTGGAATGTTAATTATGTGAAGTGCCTTGAGACGACTCTTGTCGTGATTTGGCGCTATATAAATAAAATTGAATTGAATTGAATACTGCTTGGCCCTCTGGTACCTGTCAGCTGCTTTTGTAGACCCACCGACCATCCATGCCCTGTGCACCTCCTCCTTCATTCTGGTGTCCACCAGTGAATCCGGTGGTTATAACCACAATTAGCATTGTCAACCTTAGCTAGCAACCGTTGCTTCAACAGTTGCAAAGACGAACAAGGCCCATTCAGACTCAATATCCCCCACTACACATGGGACGTGGTTTTTTGACAGGTTCTTCCACCAGGGGTTCCTAGCAAAGTCTCACTATATGTCTACTATACGCTTGTTAAGGACGGTTTGTTTTAAATAGGAGATAATACTCAAAAATACAGAACTGTGGTATAATTCTTAGTAAAAATAAACAGTTTTTGTCGTGCTTTATTTATGAAAAAGGCGTGTTTGTCGCGATTCCATGAATGACGATAAACAATGGGACAAATTTCTTGTTTACAGAATAATAACGATATTTTACAAACCATTTGCAAGCTAACTGTCATGTAAACACACAACAAGCAGTAATATAACAATTAACAGAGGTACTGCGTCTCTTCAGGTAAACAGTCTGTGACGTAGTAATTTCCCCAAAGTAGCACGTATCCACAAGTAGTATGGATAGTCGGAACACCGGTCCTTCCAGTTATTCCCTTCTAAGACACACTGTCGTTGCTCACGTGGGCATTGAAGTCTCCTAGCAAGACTATGGAGTCTCTGGTGGGAGCACCATTTAACACTCATCCCCCTCAAAAAAACTTTTCTGAACTAATTAAGCCTCCAGCAATCTCGCTCATGTGACCTTTCTGTGTGGAGTTAGCATGTTGGGTTTTCTAGGTTAGATTAATTGTAGGACACTAAATTATCTCTTGGTGTAAGTGAGTGTGTAACTGGTGGTGTGTCCATGTGATAGCCTGTAGACCCGTCCTGTCTCTCAACCTATGAATGCTGAAGACAGTCACCAGCTTCTTGCTACTGAAGATAAGGTGGTTCCCGTATTGGATGAATTAATTATGCAAGCTACAGTTTCTATCAATGTACCGAGACTAGGGATGCAACGATACCACTTTTCCCAAACCCATACGATATCAATACTTGGATCTGAGTACTCACCGATACCGATTACCGATACCGATACTTCTACCACACAAAAAAATGCTATGAATTGGAATAAAGGTTTTATTTTCCTCTTTGCTTTCAACAAGAAAAGACTGTGAGGTTGATAAAAAATAAAATATATGAATAAAAATGATCACAAAACTAAAATGTTAGGTGAACAGAAATGACAAGTTACAGTGAAGCCACTTTCAGGTTACTGCATTGGTATCGGTTCCTGGTATCAGTTAACTTTTACCGATACTGGTATCGTATCGGTGCATCCCTAAACGACACAATATGTGGTAGTTTTCCCAAAATAAACTACTTAGCTAACTAATGTTTGTAAGAATAGTTTTGAAAGAGCCCTAAAATGACTACATTACAAATTAAAACAGAAGAAAGGCGTAACTTTTGTTTATGATTGACTTTTATTCAAGAAACATTATTTTCATTAAGTAACTAATGGAGGCATACTCTGTTTCATGTGAGAAAGGACAAGAACATCTGACAACCTTTTCTTGCAGATGGCTGTTTGCAGCATGGTAGAAGAGAAAACAAAAACAGATGAAAAATATACACGTCATTTAAATTTTCTGAACTTTTTTAATTTTATCTCCCTTGTGCCTCGACCTTTATGCTGTCACAAACGCTCGTGCTATTTCAGACGCTAGATCTGTGTAAAGCTAAAGATTAAATCCTCTACATAAAATTCTTATTTACAGCAAATGTTGTACAGCATGTGAGCTTTCTGGATTCCCTCGTGAAAACGGAAACGATACAGTCCTAAAAGGTAACATTTAAAATGAGCAGATTCAGAATGTTGTTCGTCTCCTAGCTTGTTGCAACAAAAGAAAAGCTAAATCTTCTGTAAAGCAAAAGCCTTAAAGAAGGAAGTAAATTCAAAAGGTCCTTCAACTAGAAAACTGATAGGATGAGATATTTAAGGCACAACCCTTTTAAACATTTAACCTTTGATAGAATTTATGTACAAACCTTCATTTAAATGTTGGTAAAATGTGTGAATGTGTGGTATTTCTTTTTTTTTTTTTTTAAAGTGCATGAAGTGAGCTTGGACCTGCCAGAGGCTGAGATTAAATTAACATCCAGCCCCGACAGCGCAGCCACTCCCAGCCTGTTTGTTAAAACTTTATGGTGTTGTGCGGAAAGTCGTCGGCACGTGATCTGGCCTCCGCAATGCAGTGATTGGTCCATAGAAATAGGTGAGTGTGACCTTTCTCTGTCAGTGTCAGAATCTGGCGTAGCCTGTTCTTCATAAGGGTAATTCAAAAAGCTGACAGGACGTTGCTGTTTGATCATCATCATTATTATTATCGTTAATATTACTATTATTTCTATGGGTCAATTTCTTCTTGCCGCTCGTCATTCGCAGCATTTCTTCTTCTCGATGTGCAGGACCTTTTTGCAGTTGGGGCAGGTGTGGTACGCATCTTTGAAGCTATCCAGGAAGAATGGAATCAGACAGCAGCACAAGAACAACCTGCAAGGCAGACACAAAGCGTTGTTTGGATGGATTTTCATCACTGAGCAGAAGAGTATTCTGAAAACCTTGACAGATTGATAATTAAAATGATTTAAATGAAAACATCACGGAAATAAGTTTAGGAAAAGTCTAATTTCCGAACGTTATTTTGGTCTCCAGGTGACAGGAGCAGGACATTTTAAACTCATTTAGGATGCAATAAATAGTCTTTTCAGACTTGATTTTGCTACAAAGTAAGCTAAAACGAGAAGTCTCCATTTTTGTTCGTAAAAACTGCATAAAACGTGTGTTAAAGCGACCGTCCTTAAAAGAAACGGGGTCTGTTACCTTATTCCCCAGAGTTAGTTAAGAGGGGAAAAGCCTTTTGTAACCAGCCCAGTCATGCTCCTAATCTGGTACTACTTATTTAGCTTTAGCTTAGCAGAAACAATGTAAGTGAATGGCAACTAGCATATTTCTTGGTGATCTCAATCATGACTGCAAATGAAAATTATTAATATGAAGGTATTACTGGAACCAACTGGGACTTGGGACCATGTCACGACAAAGCACCGCTGCAAGGCGCCAGGACGTGTCGCAGCCACTTAATCTGTCCTGTACTCTGTAATTTTCATTGACACACATTATGCTTTTCCTTCAGAAAACTGTACCGGTAATTCTCCATTACATTTATGTTTACAGACGCAGGCGTCTTTTTGACTTTGAATGATTGAAATGCTAGCTGTTACCATTCACTTACATTGTTTATGCTAAGCTAACGCTAAAGGAGTACTTTCAGATTAGAAGAATGACTGGGCTGGTTACAAAATGCTTATTCCCTACTTAAACTAACTTTGGGAAAATAGCAACAGACTAAATTTCACTTAGAGGTAGTATATTCCTTTGAGAATCCAGATGAACAAAAATGTTAGAGCTTCCACCAGAGACTAATTAGGGTCACTGTGGTAACAACACACTTCCTGACTGCCATCCTTATAAGATAGAAAGAAAGAAAACATTATTTTATGTAACACCTCTCTAGATAAAAATCTGTGGGCTCGAGAAAGAAAGAAAGAAAAACTGCTTCAGTCACTGTGAATGAACTTTGAGTGCCGTCAAAATCCCTGTGAGTGTCAGAAAGGTGATATTTTACTATTCTACAGTTTCATACAGAAGACTTGAGAAATCAAAAGCCTTCCCTTCCATTTTTAGCTTGCAGATAAATTGATTTGTCACACGCCATCGCTCACTCACCCACAGCAGATGAAAAGTAAGCACATCAGCCAGGCGTAGGTTCCTGCTTTATAGGTGACGTCAGTCATCACGTTCTGCCGGCAGCTGTCACAGTTTGTCATGCCGGGGTTACGTCCCAGCCCCACGTCGTAGCTGACAAACTTCTTTTTAGATTCTCCAGGAAGGCGTTCCGACCCCACGCCACCTCCTCCACTGGTGAACACTGACAGGGGGGCAAAATATTTCATTCAAGATAAATTTCCTGACAAAATCACCTTTAAAGCAAAAAATCCAGAGTTTTTTTTCTCAGAGGAAGAGAGGAAACTTTGGACTGCTTCTTGAAGGTTGAGCTCTTAAAAAGAGCACGGTCAGGTGTGATATTACCTGGTCTGTCCTGAGACACAGTGACCTCCTGTTGAGGGGGAGGGGTGAATGGGGTGTGCACGTGGTAAACCTTCACGCCATCATTCTGACCTTCTACTGGACCAACGACAAGAAAACAGAGGAGGGAAATTAAAGAGAGATGGTGAGGGTGAAAACTGTGTGTGTGTGCATGTGTGTGTCTGTGTGTGTGGGTGAAGGCGTACCCGGTACGAGGTATGGAGGGGGAGACTTTGTCCCATCACCACTCATAGTGCTGCAAAGAGATCACAAATCAGGTCATGCAGTTCTAATTCCAGCCACAAGAGGGAGCCAAATCCCACTGGTGGAGCTTTAATCCTTCTCTAACTCTGACGAAACCTCCTGTGATCCCATATTGACGCATATTAAAGTCAAAGTGACAGATTAGTCTGCCCCAGGCTCCTTTGTGTGGACGTTTCATGCCCCAAGACACGCCTGCATGGGTGTGCCGGTGTGAGGACGAATGGTTGGCATGTTTCAGGTGTGGTCACTGACTGAAACTGCCTTTTTTTTTCTCAATCTCTTTGTGCACAAACAAATGCTTGCAGCACAAATGTTTGCAGAAGGGATGCAGGCATGGCTTTGTTTCTTTTATAATCCCTAAATCAGGATTCATGAGAAAACTCTGCTGCTGGGTGGAAAGGAACATTTGAGGTTTGCACTGTAATAATCTCGATATAATAAACTCACAGGAGGCAGATTACTGCTTGCACATGAATTCAAAGGTCCCAAAAATACTAACTGAAAAAATTATCTAGTTTGTAGGAATATTTTTTAATGACTCTCCATGATTTTAATAGATAAAATATTATTTTTCTTGGAAAATTTTCCGTTTAAAAAAATGAAATGATTAATTTTATCTCCAGTTTCTTTAGGAAAAACTCTTTTGTTTGAAATTAGATTTTTGCTTTTTATTTTTTGTTGGATGGTTGTGTGTGTGGCCTTAACACTGCAGCTGTAGAGCAGAGTGATGCAGATGAGGCATGTTTCAGGCAATTTCCAAAAGTTGTGAGGGGATAAGATCCTTGAGTGTAGCGTTTGGGACTATTTAGATCTGCAAGATAATTGTTGTTAACTGGAAAAAGGATCTGACCCAACAAAGTTAAGTCACTACACATTTTATTGCAGATGCAAGAAAAACGCTCAATGAAATAAAGACAATAATTACAATAAAAGCAAAAACAGAGTAAAACGTCAAATTAAACCTGGTAAAATTGTTTTAGGATTGTTCTCGTCAGAGCCCCTGCATGGTAAAAGTGTGACTCGTTACTGTATTTTCACATTTTCATGTCTAATTTGGAAAATAAACATATTTTGCTTACTAGGATGTGTGAAAATAAAAAAAATGTAAATAATGAGTAAAAAACAGAAATCTTGCAATAAAGACCTCTTTATATAAGAAATTATAGTTTGTGCTCTTTTACACTCCAGTCAAAAATAAGCCCATTTAATTTAATTTAATTTAAATTAATTTTATTTACTGATCTTAACTTAAATAATAAAACTTCTTTTGCATTTTTAAAATAAAATAAATGCTGGAGTGTTTAAAAAAGTTATAGCCTTACATTATAACCCTTTTAATAAACATTATAACCCCTTTTGTTTATAAAAATGAAAGGTTTCTTTTAATTTACGTTTTACTTTCTCTCACACACACAGACACACACACACACACACACACACACACATATGTGTGTGTGTGTGTGTGTGTGTGTATAAGTATATATATACTTTATTACAGAAGCACGTTCAGAAGCAAAAATTAAACAGTAGAAGGAGTTTTCTGTTATTGATATTTAAATTATATTTGAAGTAAATCTATTCAGGGACAGACATAAAATGAGTTTTTATCATAGTGCATGATCAAATGTGTATTTATTTACTCTAGAACCTCAATTTTATTAGAGAAAATACAGGATTTAGGACAATAAAGGTAAAAAAGTTTTGGTTATTTTATTTCTTTAACTTTCTTCCCTCACTTTTTTCTCTATTAGACCAAAATGTTAGACGAACTTAACCTTTAAACCTCTAAAACAAACCGTACGAACTCTACAAGAATGATCTTTCTGCTGCTTTTGTCTGGCCTCCTGTCCTGTAAATGTCCTTGAGTGTTGTCACTTATGGACCTTCATGGTCAGAACCATCCTGGAGGTGGTGGAGGAATGCAACAGAGCAGTATGCCTCCCTCAGGGTGTGTCGGGCAAACCGGGTCACCCTGAACTCAGATGCTTGATGCTCATTTAAACATATTCCCAGAATCTTAAAATAGCTTCAAATCTTATTTTCTGAAATCGAATGTTTTTTTCTTTTAAGACTCAGATGTTTCAGTGAGCTGACTGGAGCAACTGTCTCAGGGTCTAAGTGTCTCTGGGGGGGGGGGGGGGGGGGGGGAGAGAAACATGATCACAGGGTGTGGTTCCTTAAAAATCCACCACCCGCCTCGTGAGAAAGCCTCAAACTTTACAAAAAGCATCTGAGTTCATAAAGGAGAAACAGGTCCAGCAAAGTTCCTGAGTCGCTCGTCAAGCTTCAGTCGAAAAGGAAAAAAACACGGAGATGAAAAATGTAAACAGTAGCCCAGCAGGTTTTTTCAGGTGATTACCAGGTGAGATGTTTGGACAGCAGATAAGCTACCTGCTGCCCCAAAAGCCACATATGTGGCCTGACTGTATTTATGAAATCTGTGCTGGTCCAAGCCGACCCGGTCCCGCAGAAGAAGGTTTGCCTCTAAATGCATTTTTAATAATCAGCTGATGAAGGAAGGAGGCGAGACGACATCACTGGGATTACAGTAAAAACGCCCGTCCCAGAAAAAAAAAACGTTTTTAATAAATAAAATAGGAAAAACGCTCTTTTGTATTCAAACATGCACGTTTGGAAGGAAATTCATAATTCAGGGTTTGAATGTTTTACTTTTTCTTTTATTTTCAGATTTTTTTCTCTAATTCTAATAAATGAAGAAATGAGTTAATTTAATCATTCACGCTGGTTTGTTTAAAGGTTAAAAAATCCCAAACTGACTTAAAAATAAACAAAAGCAAACAAACATTGTATAATTTTTTTAAATTAACATCTGATTTTGTTCTAAATGCTTCAACTTTTTACCGATCTTCAGGGAAAATTACCAATAAAACATTAATAAACAATCAGCTTTGAGATATTTTACAAAAACGTCTCTTTTATGTGTAATAAATATGAATGAACTGTGTCTAAAATCAGATTTTTTTCCCGTTCATGACTAATAAAATCCTGCTGGCCTTACCTTGTCGCTGTGTGTTGTGGTCCCTATGCAGAGCTGTGTGTGTGCGTTTGTGTGAAAGCTGCTGCTGATGGAGAGTTCTGACAGATTGCAGCTGAGATGATAACCTGTCTCACCTCTACCTGCTTGAGCCTCACCTCCCAACCCTGCCCCCTTTAGCCCCGCCCCCTCCAGAAACAAAGCACAAGCAGCAGGTGTGACTCAGGCACGGGCGCTGATGGAACAGCCTGTACCGGTGCTGTAGTTTTATTTATTTATTTTTTTCATAAAAGGCTGCTTGTTGCTGTGAGATTTTCAGGGAGTGTGTCTGTGTGACTTCCTGATGTGAGAACAAACTGAGTCGTGTGACGTTTTCTGATCAGGTAAACCAAACTGGTACTTCTTCACCTGGACTTCTTTTTTTCTGAAGATCATTGAGAAACATCGCGGCACACATTTACATGTTTTTATTCTCAAGAATTCGGAGAATCTTTACGACTGCTGACAAACCCTCCCTGGGAATTACGCCCTCCCTGTTGGCCGAGGAGTTGTTCTGATAATGATCTCATTAGTAGAAGCGCCAAATGAGGGAGCACACATTGATTTTGTGTGGGAAATCCAATCATGACTCAGCGCATCTGGGCTAGGGTTAGGTCACAGGAAGACATTGGCTTATTTCACTATATGATTTTGTTCTCGTCAACGTAGACCAGTTTTTCTTATTTACAAACCCCCATATTTTGATTTGTAATATTTTAAAACATTTATTTTCAGTTATTTTTTAAAGAACACTGTCAACATTGTTTCACAGTTTAGAACAAATGAAATGTGGTCATGTGTACGAGGTCCGACTAATCTGAAACTTAGTGCCAACTGTACAAGCCTGTGGCGGCAGTGTTATGATCTGGGGTTGCTGCATTTGTCAGGTCTAGGTTCAGCAACAGCATGTTGGGACGGGATGTGCTGGAGAAGGCTTTGTGCAGCGGTCAGGCTCATCAATGCAAGATGTTGGTGAAACGTGAACGCAACACTGGATGGAAATAAATCTGCTGACATTGCAGAAACTCATCAAAACAACGCCGCAGCTAATGCGTGCCGCAGTCAAAGCTAAAGGCAGCCCAACGAAACATTAGTGTACGTGACTTTTTCCCTTTTCTTCCATAATAGATATCTACTGACGGTAAATAAGACAAGTATAGAAACATTTTTCCCAACACAGGTCGACTAGAAAAGTCAATAGTAATCCCTCGTCGTGCGTCCAACAGCACGCTGGTTGGCTGCACAAAAATCGGTCGTAGCTGCTCACTCTGCATTAGCTCCAGTTGGGTTTGGAGAGTGAAGATACCCACTGAATACACTGGAGATTCCATATCGCTCTTCAGCGCCCAATGTGGCATCTACGTGTTCACGTCTATGGTCGACACGTGCTTTCCTCTCTCCTAGATGCTAAACCAACAACGGCCTTCCTCGTCACGAGCTAAGATGGGTGAGCCATAAATGCTAACTCTCAGTGTGACCCGACTGTTTCTATTTTTTTACCAGCAACTAATGCAGGAAATGGGGGCAGAAGACTATATTTACGTTTAGCCTGCATGTAAAACTCTGAGTGATTGATATTGTATTAAAAACTAACAAGTGACAAACTAGCTTTAAAGATTTGCTAGAGTTTGTCTGTCTTTAAGGCAGATGGGAGCAGACCAGTCCTACCACATATTTCGACTGGATTATCAAGCATGCTGCTTGGATTAAATGTTTCCCCATAGTCTGCCTTCAGTGGAGACTGAATGTGGTCTAGAGAGTTTTTACAGATTTGAAGCAATGAGCAAAGCCAGTTTCTGGGTCACGTTCAACTCTGAGTTTTTTTTAGAAACTAGTGAAACACTAGAGTTGTTGTGCAGACTCAGAACTTATATATATATTTCAGGTGTGAATGATGAACTAAATTTCTATAAAATGGGTCATGGGCTTCCCTTATGGTTGAAGGTATTACTGAATTTAATTTAAGTTCAATTCAAGTTTATTTCTATAGCGCCAAATCATGACAAGAGTCATCTCAAGGCACTTCACATAATAAACCTTCCAATTCAGGTCAGTTCATTAAGCCAATCAGTAAAAAGTTTCCTATATAAGGAACCCAGCAAATTGCATTGAGTCACTGACTAGTGTCAGTGACTTTACAGCAATCCTCATAAAAAGCAAGCATAAAGCGACAGTGGAGAGGAAAACTCCCTTTTTAACAGGAAGAAACCTCCAGAGGATCCTGGCTCAGTATAAGCAGCCATCCACCACGACTCACTGGGGATCGAGTAGACAGAGCAGACACACGCACGCACGCACACACACACACACACACACTCGCACACGCACACATCTACACAACATATATACCAAGTAGTGTTTCTATGGTTACATTGTGACTTCTAAGTAAATATTCTATTTGGTGAGAGATCAACTTTATTGTATTTATCCTAGTGAATCTATAATTAAACGGGTAAACTAGTAGTAGCACATTTAATGTCAAAGAAAGTAAAAAGTTATTATCAGGAGAGGGAGAATTTTTAAGTGATTGGCAGCAGTGTGCTAGACGATGGCCCCCTCCATGAGGCCACCACAGCTCAGCAGAACATCATTGTAGCTTCTTCTGGGGAGAAAACACTTAGAGAGAAAATGAAGTTAACAGATGAAATTGCAGAAAATAATACAGTTAAAGAGCAACTTGTAGAAGAATGTAGTCGAGTGTGGAAAGTGGTCAGTGTATCCTCCAGCAGTCTAAGCCTATAGCAGCATAACTACAAAGATAACTCTGGATAACCTAGCCTTTTAGATGGAGGCATGTTGGAGGCTGGGCAAGGGAGAGCCGTCTTTACCGACTGTACACTCCACCTCCCTCTACTCCCCCACTTGTCCAGATTTAGGCTAACATCAGATTTTGACCATAGGCCCTATCAAATAAAAATGTTTTAAACCTAGTCTTAAAAGTAGACAAGGTGTCTGCCTCACGGACTAAAGCTGGGAGCTGGTTCCACAGGAGAGGAGCCTGATAGCTAAAAGATCTGCCTCCCATCCAATTTTTAGACATTCTGGGAACCACCAGTAAACCTGCAGTCTGAGAGCGATGTGCTCTGTTCAAATGTTGTATTTTTTAAAACTTTTTGATGAATATGAGACTAAACCAAAAGGTTTCAGCACTCTTTGGGATTGTGGATGGATTTTCCTGATCTGTAACAAAGGTATGCACAGTCACACACACACACACACACACACACACACACACACACACACACACACACACACACACACACACACACACACACACACACACACACACACACACTCACACACACACACACACACAAAATATACTTGTTTTCAATTGCATTTATTGGGCCCACTTACTTTTTCTTAGGCCCACCCACAAATGAGTTTCTGGCTATGCTAATGGTGACATATAACAGACTCCAGCGGTCAAGTGGCAATCAGGCGGGGTACTCATTGTGAACATTTTGACACAAATTACTATTTTCATCTGCATAGAAAAAAAATACAAATAAAATCATCTTTTTTGTGGTGCACTTAGGTGTTTAAATCACACAAAACACAGACATTTGTCAAATAAACATGTTTTACATATTTGAAGAAACTTTTTCGGTTTGTCTTGGTAGGAAAAAGCCGGTTTGTGCAGGTTAAAGAGCAAGTTACCCCCTACCAGATTCTTACTCAACTCCCACTTCCTGTTTGAAAAATGCAATAAATGCTGTTGCCTAGCAGACCGAGAGGGCGGAGCCGCTAACAAATACACACACACACACACACACACACACACACACACACACACACACACACACACACACACACACACACACACACACACACACACACACACACACACACACACACACACACACACACACATACAGGCTCACAATGACATTGTGACATCATATGGTACCAGCTAATGTTCTAGGGTACCTCTTAGTCAATAGCGATGGCAGATGTAAATTCAAATGCAGTGCAGAGTTTTTACCTGACAATGGCACAACACTGCCAGCTTTAGGCAGAAAATTAAAATTTTAACTAAAACGCACTAAAATGCAAAACTATTGACTACACGTGTCTGCAGCACGATTAGACACGCATTTATATAGTTTATCAGCAGAAAAATGTTGATTTGGGGGTGACTTGCTCTTTAAGGATGCAGCCTGTTTACAGCTGTTCTGTTTTGGGTTAAATGTTAAATCACAAAATGTTTAAATTAACATTTTCAAAATATTTTTAAAACAGAGACAGAACAAGAACATGACCCTCTCCCAACCGTCTATACCCCTGCTAACAGTCAACGTCACATGGACGTGAATGCAGATCCTGTCTGTATTGAGTCTGTCAGTCCAGACCACGTCTGGAGGAGGTCCAAACTAGATCTTTGCACAGTGGGACAGAACCAAAATAAAACAAGAACAAAAAAAACGACAGCTTGTAAATGTTCACGGCGTTCCCAACATCTGCCAATGCTCACTATCTGTACACAGTGATGGAACAAAGGAACAAAGGCGTGTGGGTGTTGTTTGTAAACATTCCGAGACAATTTTCAAATTCCCTCGTAGAGGACGTTTGTAATTTATTGCCATCCAATGCAGCGCTTGATTAAACGCAGGTATTACCACAAAACATGATGGACAAAGAAAATGTGAGGATGAAAATGAGTAAAAAACGCACGTGGACTCGTTTTGGGATACCCTAACCCGAACCCAACGGCAGAAATACAAGCATATGTAGATCATCCATCTCTAAATGTTTAACCAGAAACAAAACTCAGGAGTAAAAAAAAAGGGTTAAATTCAGCTTTTTACAAATATTTATTCCATCATTGGCCTCAAATAAATCCCACGAAGATCTACAGTAACAAGGTGATGCGTAAGAGTTTGGGTGTTGTTCCTTGATGTTACCTGGGTGAGGTGGTTGTCTATCTGTTTCGATGAGCTGGATCGGCGACATTCCTGGAAACAAACCAACCCCACATACTTTGGCATCCAGCCCTGGAGGGAGGATGGTGTGAGCTTTCACTGAAACCTTAAAGTGATTTACAGATCCGAGTCAAACATTTTGTTCATAAAAGTCTTATTTAGGTTACAAACGTGAAAGCAGCTTTGTTTTCCCAGTCAAAGCTTGACTCGATTTTCATGTTTTTTATGTTTGCTGATCTTTAAACTGATTTTTGATTTTTCCATCTCTGCAAACCAAACAACCCAAAAAATCTCACATCTTCCAAATAGACGGAGAATCATTTCACTCAAGAATCACCAAAGAAAGCATCTCCTCACCAAAACACAACTGTATATCATTTCAAAGGGCAGGTTGTACGCTTTATCAGTGTAATCCAGTGTAAACATAGCGTGCAGTGCTCTGAGGAAGGCGACAGCGTTAGCCGAAACTTGTCAGCAAAAAAAGGTAAAAACAAGTCTTCTACTAGGCTGTGTTTAAGAAAGAATTAAAACAATGAAAGGTTAGAATTAAACCAGGTTTGTGTCATCTGAATGGCTGTATAACTGGTATTTTAGGGTTTTTGTCGAGTCAACAAAAAAAGGAAAAATTGTTTAGAGGGCCTTGACTGGTAGAAGCTAGTTATAAAATGCTTTTCTAGACCAAAACAAAAAATGAGGAGGAAAAAAACTAAAATAAAATAAACTTAAACGCTTTGCCTTTTTACATGCAGCTCATTTATTCATTTTTCAGTATGTACCAAGCCCCCATGATACTGGTATGAAAATGAAGCCAACACGGAAGTGACAGAAATTGCAGTTCCACTCTCATCCACTAGGGGCTGGTGTCAGAAGCGAGCAAATCCTCATTGACTCCCATGTTAAAAATACCAATTTCACAGCAGAAATGCACATGTTTACAGCCTGGTACCAAAACATGTTTTTGGTTTAAATGATCTAGTTTACACTCATGACAACTCTGAGGGGGGTGAATTTTTTTCTCACTCTTCTGTTTAAGTGTATTAAAAGCCTAAAATTCTGTATAATTAATGAGCATCCGATCCACGTGACCACAGAGCTAGCTCCGTGGAAAGGCCTCAGTAGAGCCTCGGTCTGGCTTAGAAACTGTTCTGAGATTTTGAGTCTCTGTGTTTGTGTATTCTTTTTTGGATATTATTTGTGCAATTGTTGGACAAAATGACTTGCTGTGGCATTAATTGCACTAATAGAGTGCCCAAGGAGTCTCCACTTCATTTTTTTTGGTAAGTAAAATTGTATTTATGTATTTTAGGTCACTGCCGAGCTGAGCTTAGATTTTAACATGTACTGTTTAACCATGAAATTTAAATGTAATAGGGTAAAACCCAGTGCATTTAACATAATGCTGCACTTTAGAAAATGGTTTGAAATATGGGGCTGCGCAGTGGCACAGTGGTTAGAGCTGTTGCCTTGCAGCGAGAAGGTCCTGGGTTCGATTCCTGGCCTGGGATCTTTCTGCATGGAGTTTGCATGTTCTCCCTGTGCATGCGTGGGTTCTCTCCGGGTACTCCGGCTTCCCTCCACAGTCCAAAAACATGATTGTTAGGTTGAGTGGTCTGTCTTTAGGTGTGAGTGTGCATGATTGTTTGTCCTGTGTGTCTCTATGTTGCCCTGCGATGGACTGGCTCTCTGCCCAGGGTGTACACCGCCTAATTGCCCATTGACTGCTGGAGATAGGCATCACTTTAGTTTGACAGGTGTTGTCATTTGATCCCAGCCTTACAGCCCCACCCTCAGCTCCACCTCGCTTCCCTTTTTTGCAATTATCTGGGCTTGAGGGAACCTGTGACATGGTCAAAATGGCGGTGGTGGCCACCTCCCATTTTGGCCTAAAAACGTATTATTGGAGCCTATGGAAACAAATTGTCCAGTATATATGTCGATGATATGTACAAATCATTGTAACCACCAAACACTCCCATAAAAGGTAGTCGAAAAGATAAAAATAGTCTCTGACGCTGTCTGTATAAAAAAAAAACCAAGGATGAGGAAGTGTCAGTGATGTCTCCTGTCACTGTCTCGTTCAGCCTTTTACCCGTATGTCTCTCATGCACCTGACCATTGTTCCATCTTTGAAACTTTTAATATGACACATTTTTATTGTTTCTTCATGCATTAAATGAACTTTATTTTTGCTTCATTTTCTTCTTTAATCACAGGTAATTGATGATGCTAGTCAAGTTTTCAGTACAACAAGCCTTCTCTCTAAACACACATTTAAAACAAGCTGATAGAAAACAGTTGTATACCTAGCATTAAACACAGATCAGTCACCTGAAGCAGTTAACATCCTGCATTGCCACACATTTTATTTTTACGGCAGTACTCATTTAAAGTCTTGTTGGTTTTACTGGATGTTGTTATTCCAGGAATGTGTCCTGTCGAACCAGCTCGGCGCTGGTTCCCTGGTGTTTAAGCTCTCTCTGCGCAGACAAACTATGTTTTGATAAGGTTTCAAAAAGAATATTAAAAAGTAGGGATGCACCGATCAGGTTTTTTGCTGCCGATCACCGATACCAATATCAAAGAATGCTGGTCACTGATACCGATCACGTGGATTGGCCAGAAATTTTCTACATTATTGTAATGAGTGCTACAAACTACATAATCTGGGAATAAAGGAAATGTAACCTAATCTGTACTAGGGTTGTCACGGCGTGAAAATTTAACCTCACGGTTATTGTGACCAAAATTATCACGGTTTTCGGTATTATCGCGGTATTTTTTTTAAACGTGCTACATTTTCACACAATTAAATAAACCCTGTATGTCAGGAAATATTGTCCTCAGTTTGTGTCTAAATTTTGCCTAAAATGTGTTATTTTGTAATTATGTTGTTTATTTGTTTACATTTTTTCCCTTTAGTCTTTAAAATACCAATATTTGCCCATAACTTCTTATTTTATGTCTGTTTGATGTCATCATTTTAAAAATATTAGATCAGATGATACTCAGTACTCAAGTAGCCTTCTAATCAGATACCTTTTTACCCTTACTTGAGTAATAAACCCTATATCAGGAAAATATTGTCCTCGGTTTGTGTCCTTCCAGTGAGCTTTGCAGATGTGGGAAAATGTCATCAGGCAGTAATCATTGTTAAATTCATAATTATTCTCGGAGAGAGACCAACTCTTATCTGCCCCTGGGAGCCCCGTAATGCATAGCGTCATTTAAACATGGCGTGTCCGCGACACGGTTTATATGCAGGTAGCGGCGCTGCGGCTGCTTTACATAGCGACTCGTTGCCTTCTCCCTCAACCCAAATCCTCGGATCACACATTTTAGCTAAAACGCTAACGTTAGCTTGCCTTGTGTTGACTGTAGAGTTGTGGGTGAGGGTCCCGCAGATGTGTCATGAGATTTGAAGCGTTGCTGCCTTTCACAGACACTTTTTCTGCACGTGCTGCAAACAGGATAGCCGTTTTCTATCAACTGTCCCTCGACATTCTTCAAATATCCAAAAAATGCCCGTACTTCCCACTTTGTCTTCTTTGAGGGATAATAAATGTCCTCCTGAGCGCTGCCGTCTCCTCCTTTGGCCATTATTTCAGCTTCAGCTTCAAGAAAGTTTTGGTTGTAAACAACAAAGTGCGCATGTGCCGCAGGCAACTTCAGCAGATGATACGGTGGCTGGTAAGGGTCACCGCGGCTACACCGCAGCCACGGTAATCCACCGAGATAATATAGATTTTTAAAAACAAAACGGTTATTATTATTGTCAACTTTTTTTGCCGGGGTTTACCACTACACTGATCGGTCTTCTTTGATCTATTTTGAAAATTCCATCAAAACCGATTGGGGCGCTATCGGCCGATTGGGATCAAATGCCGATCCATCGGTGCATCCCTAATAAAAAGAGAAGTTTCTGCTTTTTGTGTCACAAACTAGTTTGTTCAATCATCACAAGGCCTGTTGTTCAGGACGCTGTTGCAGAGCACAGCATTTTCAACACCAGCTGCAAAATTACACCCTGAAATTACAGCTGCATCGTCTTAAACTATAATTTCATGCATAAAGAATATTAAAGAGGTGCAATGAAAACATATTTATACAGATAAAACTCTAAAAATTAGAATATGATGCAAAAGTTCATTTATTTCTGTAATTTAACTTGGACTGAGAGACCATCTAAAGGCTCAGTAAACCTCTGCGGGGGTTCTGGAATCATTTGCTGATCAGAGTGTGACACTTTGAGTCTAGAATATTGAACCTTTTCACAATATTCTTGTCTGAGATTTTGAATTTGGGGTTTTCATGCGCTGTAAGCCACAATCATCACAAAATAAAAAGACACGAAACATCTGTCTTTGCCTCTACTGTGTCTATCTCCTGTATTAGTTTCTCCTTTTAAGTTGAATTACTAAAATAAATGAACTGTTGCTCCATATTCTAAGTGTCACCTGTGGAGCTACATGTTTATACCTTGTACTTTATGGTGTTATTAAACATGACAATTGCCTCAGGTTCATGTTTAGTCTCAAAAGGAATTGCAACATGTCAAAAACTTCTTCAAAGTATTGAATGGCATTTAAAGAACATCTGCTGTGAAAAACTTATGTTTTTTATGATCATTTTATGATTTTATGACTTATTTTTATTTTGTTCTTTCTGTGGTAAGTGCTTCATAAATAAACTTTAGTTACTCTTTTTTTTTACAAGCGCTTCCTCCTTCACCCTCTCAATGCTTGGAGATGCTGCCATGCATTCATTAAGGTGCTTGGAGGGAGAACTCATTTGTTCATTTGTTATTGTCAGCATATTTAGGTCCAGGTCGCTGGGGCAACCCAAACTGTTATCTTTCTAGCAACTTCCACCAGATCCAGCAGGCATTCTATGGCCAACATGGCACCTTCAATGTGTCTGGGGTCAACCCGGGGGCCTCCTGCTGGCAGGAGCCATCTGGATCACCTCAGCTGGATCTTCTTAATGCGGAGGAGAGCTGCAGAGGAAATCCATTTTGGCTGCTTGTGACCACAACTGAGGATGTGGATGAAGATCAACTGGTATGAGCCAGTCAAGTACAAAGCTGTCTCTACAAAATAAAACAGGAAGTCAGTCGAAACTGGCAACAATACAGGAAATAAAATAAGCCCACAATCAACTCAGATCAATATAAATGCCTCAGCAAAGGAGAAACACACACACACACACACACACACACACACACACACACACACACACACACACACACACACACACACACACACACACACACACACACACACACACACACACACACACACACACACAACACTCTATTTAAGAGCAAATAGGAGTAAATGAGACAAATATTGTAAGATTACATCAAAGTGACAAAGAACTGTTAATAACAAACTAAAATTCATAAAAGAAAACAAAATTTCTCATTGGTACCTTGACCAAATCACTAATTTGGTTTTCTTTGTACTCAAATATTCTTTAATTACCCCCATTTAATGTTCATGGCTTCCAATAAAGGAAGGGATTGGTGAGTCTACAACCTTTTAAACATATTTATACTCAATCGAACCACAAGTAGGCCACTCACCACTGTAGTATGTAAGAGCTGATGTTGGGCAACATGAAATATTTTAGACAATAAGGAACCTGGGCAGTGCTGTGGACCTGTGAGTCAGAATCAAAACACTGAACCAAACTGTTTCATGGGAGGTGTCTTTAATCAGGCTAGACCTGTTACCAAATCATTTTGTATGATTAAGTTACAAATTGGTCAAATCATGGCTCGTAACATTTATTCTTGAGCACATTTAAAGACAACAGACATTGACCAAAATGCTGCATACCTAAAACTGGCTCAGGACCATCAAAATGCCAACTTAGAAGACCACAGCAAGTAAATGTCATGTTCTGCGTCCAGCGTCCCCCTCATGTGTCTCCTTGTGTTCTCCTGCCCTCTCTAGGTTCCCCTTTATGTGTCTCCTTGGATTCCTCATGTGTCTCCTTGTGTGCTCCATTTCCCCCTAAGAATCCCCCTTATGCGTCTCTTTGTGTTCCTCATGTGTCCCCTTGTCTTCAGCCCTCCAGATATCTCTCCCAGGTCCTGTGATCCTTTACTCTTCCCCAGTCACCCTTCTGCAGTTTTTATAGTTTCACCTTTTCATTTTATTAGTCTCTTTAGTGTGTTTTTTCCCACCGGTGTTTGTAGTTTTCCTTCCCCTTAGAATATTAGTTATGTGGTTGCTTTTCTTGTCTTTAGGTTTTTACTCTTGGGTCATGTTAGTTTCCTCCCTGATTAGATAATTGCTTTCACCTGGTTCTCTCTCCACACACCTGCAGCCCATCTGCCTTCCATCATGCCCCAGTGTACATAAGCCCTGTCGGTCCATTGTTTGTGCCAGTGTTGTTTTGTACTCCATGTGAGTGTTTGCACCTTGTCTATAGGTTTTGTGCTCTAAGTGAGCTGTTGTCCTCGTTTCTTGGTTTGTGCTCTATATTGAGCTTTCGTCCTTCTGGTATTCAGGACTTTGGTTTTTTGGCTTCCTTCCATTTTGGGTTTTTGGTTAATCTCCTAATAAAAAGGATTTTACCTTTAACCGCTCCTGCCTCGTGTCATCTGGGGTTTTCTGCATCTTGGGTCCTTACCTCCTCCTAACCTTCAACGTGACACCCTCAGGTGCCTCCTTGTGTTCCCTAGCCCACTCCAGGTTTTCCCCTTAGGTTTCTGTGCCCCTTAGGTCTTCAGCTCTCCCCAGGTTTCCCTGAGGTTCCCCCTTTGTGATTTCTGATTTAGTTATCCCATCCTTGTTAGTGTTTTTCTTCTGATGTCTAGTTTTCAGGTTTATTAGTTCACTTATCTTTAGTTCTCTGTAGATTAATTTTACCTAGTCAGTTTCCCCACTCAGCTAATTAGTCTCACCTGATCCCTTCTGATCTCACTCCCCACACACCTGTCACCTGTTTCCCTGATTGTTTCGCTCCGTGTTCCCTCTGTGTATATAACCCTGTCTGCGTCTCAGTGTGTTGCCGGTTCATTTTTTGTGTCAGCGTTGTCCCGTTTCACTCTCTTGGTTTCTAGGTTATTTGGATGTCTCTAGGTTTTGCACTTTAAAGGAGCTTTCGTCTCGGTCTCTAGGGTTTTTGTTTGCGCATTAGGATTTTTGGATTTTTGGTTCAATTCAATTCGAAGATACTTTATTAATCCCAGAGGGAAATTAGAGTTTCAGTACACACAATTCTGAGATCGGACATACATGGGAATAGACACATGACAAGAATTGGTGACTGTGGTCATTCGCAACCCGAGTCATGCTACCTTAATAGAGATCAGAGGAGTTTACATGAGGATAGGGTCAGGTGGAGGAAAAAAAAGGTTCTTGGCTACCTGCCCATTTTGGATTTTACTTTTGCACTATTATTCCGGATTTTACGTTTTCTACAACTCCTGCCTTGTGTCATCCTGGTTCTGCATCTTGGGTCCTAACCTCCTCCTGGCTTACAGAGTGACAGTAAAAGTAAATAAAAACACAAGGCTGGCTCAAAAATGATGGACTGCGGCATCTGGAATCACTGATGTCCCTTTATTCTGTTTGCTTTAAAGAGCAGGTCATCCCCAAATCCACTTCTTTTTTCCTGATTAACTATAGAAATGAGTGTCTAACCATGCTGTAGACACATGCAGTGAATCATATGGCACTTAAGTGCATCTTAGTTAAAATTTAAATATTCTGCCTAAAACTGTCATTGTTGCACAGTTGTCAGGTAAAAGTCTGCAATGCATTTAAATTTAATCTGCCATTGCTATAGGCTAAGAAGTACACTATGATGTCAGCTAGTACATTATGAGGTCACAATGTTGTGTGTGTGTGTATTTGTTAGTGGCTCCGCCCTTTCAGTCTGCCAGGCAGCAGCATTTTTTGCATTTTTCAAACAGCAAGTGGGAGTGGAGTAAGACTCTGGCAGGGGGTGACTTGCTCTTTAGTGATAGATTTCTTTAATTAGTAACTGGCCATATGAATAATCAGATGTAGTGATTGGTCATTTTCAATGCAAAGATTCCTAAATATAGGACAATAAGCACATTATCTGAGAATACTGTCATCTTATCATTTCAAGAAAAGACCAAAGGCAGCACAAGTATAAATATTGAAATGTTATGTACAAGTTATTATTTATGAAGTTAACATTGAATAGAAACTGAATAATTGATGTATGAATATGAAACAGTAAAAAATAAAACATTTAAAAGGTCATATAATTAGGTTCACTTTTCTTCCACCATTTGGCTCCAGATGTTCCTGTCTTATCATCACAGGTGTTTTGAGTGTGACTTACAGGAACAATTTGGTTGTAATCATCGACATAAATATACTGGACATCTCCTTTCCATAGGCTCCAATATCACGTTTTTGAGGCCAAATGGGAGGTGGCCACCACCGCCATTTTGACCATGTCACAGGTTCCGTCAAGCCCAGACAATTCCAAAAAAGGGAAGAGAGGAGGAGCTGAGGGTGGGGCTGTAAGACTGGGATCAACTGACGACACCCGGTCGAACTAGCTACAAGCTAACCCTGGCTAACCCAAAGCTAACGCGGAGGTGGGAGCTAAGCTAATGGGGGTAGCAACCTAGCTACAACCGGAGTTAACTGTGTACAACACCAGAGCTTCTGAGTCAGATACGCCGGGCTGACCGCTGGGTAAAACCGGGTGGAACACAGAGGTCTCCGAGACCTCCACAAGCCGGCAGCCACACAGTAGACAAGCGCCGCTGCGATCTGAGATGCGCAGAGCTGCCGCTGGGGAGAACCGGGTGGAAAGGTTTCCATCCCAGAGCTCCACAAGCCGGCAGCCCGCACAGCAGACAGAAGCTGCGATCAGACAGAGATGCGCCGAGCTGCGGGGAGGGGGAACGGGTGGAAAACATCGGTCTCCCCTGAGAGCTCCACAAGCCGATAGTGGGAACCCAGCTCCACCAACATGTTATATTTCAACCCATTTTCTAAAGTGCAGCATTATGTTAAATGCACTGGGTTTTACCCTATTACATTTAAATTTCATGGTTAAACAGTACATGTTAAAATCTAAGCTCAGCTCGGCAGTGACCTAAAATACATAAATATAATTTTACTTACCAAAAAAAATGAAGTGGAGACTTGTTGGACGCTCTATTAGTGCAATTAACGCCACAGCAAGTCATTTTGTCCAACAATTGCACAAATAATATCCAAAAAAGAATACACAAACACAGAGACTCAAAATCCCGGAACAGTTTCCAAGCCAGACCGAGGCTCTACTGAGGCGTTTCCACGGAGCTAGCTCTGTGGTCACGTGGGTCTGATGCTCATTAATTATACATAATTTTAGGCTTTTAATACACTTAAACAGAAGAGTGAGAAAAAAATTCACTCCCTCAGAGTTGTCATGAGTGTAAACTAGATCATTTAAACAAATAACATGTTTTGGTACCAGGCTGTAAACATGTTTATTTCTGCTGTGAAATTGGTATTTTTAACATGGGAGTCAATGAGGATTTGCTCGCTTCTGACATCAGCCCCTAGTGGATGAGGGTGGAACTGCAATTTATTTCATTTCCGAATTTGCCTCGATTTTAGAGCCGCATTGTGGGGGCTTGGTTGTAATAAAAATGACACAGTAAACGTGGATGATGGGTCACGTAGGAAGCTGGAGTGAATCTGGATCTGGGTGGAACTCAGAGGTCATCCTTTAGCGATAGTTGATTTATTGGATTAACAGTTCATTTTGCATCCATAAAATTTCCGTCAACACATTAAAATTATTAATCAACTGGTGTTTTATGGCCACATCATGTACAGTAGATGAGTTTTTTTTTTTACTTGACTCAGAGCTTTCAGCTTGTCAGTACACTGGGATGGTCTTGGTTGATGGTGAACGAGCGTCCAGTCCTGAAATAATTCTCTATTTCCTCCAGCGAGCGGTTACGAGTCTCTGGGATGCACACGGCGTTGAACAGCAGACAGAGGACACACACCACAGTGAACATCAGGTAGGGCACATACAGGCCGTAAGTGTCCACCAAGTGTGTGAAGACGTGTGTGAGGACGAAGGCTGTCAACCAGCTGACGGTGACGCACAGGCCGGAGGCCACGCCTCTAGCAACCAACGGAAGCACCTCTGACATCAGCAGCCATGTGATAGGTCCCCATCCCATAGCGTAACCTAGGAGACAGTCAATGACAAAGCTCACAGCATGTGCACGTTTGTTCTTATTTAAACAAGAGCTACAACAGAACCAGTTTCACCAGCAGTGATTCAATGAGGCTGAAGATGCTGGTGGTGGTGTCTCAGGTGCTGAGAACATGTCACGTCACATGTCCTGAAACAGACCTGTTAACAGCAGGCGATTAAATCAGCGATATGTGCCTGCAGGTATGAAATACGCCATAGAATGTGTTCTGAAAATAAAAAAACAATCAACAAACGAAATAAACAGCCTCAAATACTCCTCCAGAAGCTGAAAAACGAATAAATCCTCCCAACTTCACATTGATGACTGAGATCATGAACACACGAGTATCCCACACAAGTGTGATATTTTCTGTGATTTGGCCTGTCATCCATGTGAAGGAGACGATAAACGGCACCAAAAATTATTCTTTCAAAACTCTGAACAAACGGGAGATTTTTGATTTCTCCGTTGTCAGCATTTACTTGTGGATGCACATAACCAGAGTTTTAGGTTTCGCAATGCCATCGCCTGCAATAAAAATGCTCTGACAAAGAGCTAAACAGGAAAATAGTCTTCTACCCCTATTTCCTGCATTAGCCGCCGATAGACGGGGAAATGCTCAGATTAGAAAGCCTTTGACATTAGCACGTCATGATGTCACCCATCTTGGCTTCTGACAGGGAAGACTGTGTTCGTTTAGCATCCAGGAGAGAGAAGAGCACGTTTCAGCTAAAGAAGATGGAGTTAAAGTCCCACACATGCTGGTGTGGTGAAAATTGTCCTCTGCATGAGCTGCAGACACGGTCGCGCTCGGGAACAATTGGGTTGTTTAATCCCCCAATCCAACCCTGTAGAGCTGAGCGTCAAGCAGGGAGGCATTGGGTCCCATTTTCTGTCTTTGGTATGACCCGACCAGGATTTGAACCCTGATCTCCCAGTCCCAGTCCAGTGGACCCTCTACCACTAGGCCATTGAGCTGGTATCATAGTAGAAGCTAACCGTTAGCATTAGCAACCACCACATGACAGAACTCCTCCAGGCTTGTGTTATTTGTGGAGACAAAATATGAACATTGAGCAGCAGTAGCTTAGGAGTTAGAGTGGGTTGCCCAATATTCAGAAGGTTGTAGGTTCGATCCCGGTTCCCACTAGAGAATGCTGCTCTTGTGTCCTTGGGCAAGACATTTATGACTGATATGATGGAATGGAAATAAAATTCAGCCCTGGAATTTCTTCATCCTTCAGGGTAGAAGAGTGGGTGGGGGACAACTCTCCATGCCGCCAGCAGGGGGCTTAAGGACTGGAATGGCCCACCTTGGGAAACGGCCCACTGGGAAGTGCCCGTTACGTCAGATGGCCAATCCAACCCTGAACCCGCCTTGCTTGCTGGAGGTGGTCGGAGGGACTTCCCATCAGCGCACCCCAGGACAGCTGTGGCTAGATTGTAGCTCATCACCAGCATGTGAATGAGTGTATGACTGTGAAGCACCCCAGGGGGTTGTAGAACCCTAAGAGGGCGCCATACAGGCCATTTACCAATGTTGCAGAGCAAACAAAATCAGTGGTAGAATCACGTTGCTGTTAGCCAATCAAAGGCAAGATGCCAGAATGTCAGGAAGTAAGACTCTAAAATGTGCCATTTCTGCTCCCCTCTCCTCTGGCTCACTTCTAGTTCCTGAAACAGGAGCGCCAGAGTTTTTTCCCGCAAGGTTCGACTCAAAAGGCATTCATTTATACTAGAGACCACAGCAAATGTGTTGAAAAGAACGAGTGAACTCGGTCCTTTATACCAACCACCTAGTTATTCCAAGGAATGTTTTTTGGGAAAGACGCTGAAGTTTGGGCAAGTTACTGCCACCTACAGGCTGGGCATGTCTATGAATGTGCTTCTCAATGGACTTGATTATTTGCTGAAGACGAACTGGTGTGGATTCGAAGAGGATATTTCACAAAAACCCGGCTACGCGTGTAAAGCCTGACCCTGGGAAACCATTGCCGCCTCAGAAGCTGGAACTCAGATGTGAGAATGGCGTGACCATGTTCTAGTCCCAAGATCAAAAGCACATGGGATTTGCATACTTTGTGCTTGGTAACCATGATTTTTAAAGTTTTTATACAATGAAACTCGGTGATAGAGGCAGAACTACTGTGTGATTGACTGATTTACTTAAGTTTAGGGTTGTTCAGGAATGCTCAACCTTTCAAGTCAGAATTCCAACACTGGGTGGAGAGTTCCAGTAGATCTTTCAGACTTGGATCTTAGAAATTCTTATTTCCAAACACAAGTAGAAATGAATGAATGTGTTTGAAGGTTTTTTTTTCATTTCTACCTGGAAATTTCTTTAGAATTGTTGAAATAAACACGAACATCTGCAGATGTTAATGGATGTTTTTTGAGTCAATTATTCAGCCTGATCTTGAGAACTTTGGAGTAAAATGTGTTCAAAACTCACCAAATATGAACACCACCGTGCTGATGAGAGGGATGAGGCTAGCAGTACTTTGCTGGACAGCTTGTAACACACTCCCCAGTTCATTCTGCGAGTGGTAGCCCAGAGCGGTGAGATTGTGCGGAGCAGGGCCTGGAGGGCATGGCGTGGTGTGCGAGATCATGGTCAGGGTCAGAGACGACAGAAACATCAGCATGCTGGAAGTATACAGCAGGGCCTTGCGTCCTGCCTTGTCCATCAAGCTGGCTGCTACGGCAACAGAAAAGAGCCGGACAGCACCCACAATGGCAGCGTCGTACCTGTCGTGCACAACAAGAACAGCAAATGAAGACTATCCTGTAACCCCCTCAGCAGAAGACTTGCCTGTGACAGCATTTTTAAACCTGGGCTCTAGGGAGACGCTGCTTTTTGCAAAAATGGGCTCCAGGTAGACCAGAATGGGTGTGATGCCGGTCATCTGCTGCAGGAAACGCATCACCACTGAGATCGCGATTGGCTTGTAATAGATGGGTTTGGCCAGCTGAGACCATGAAATCCTCACTTGTGTGTTAATGCTGTGCTGCAGTGGTTGAAACAAACAACACCCAGTTTTATTCATATCCACCAGACAAAAAAAGCAAATCCCGGCCTCATGATAGCAGCACCTGTATGGCTCTGAGCTCAGCATGTGTGTTGTAGTTACTTCCCCTCAGCCAGCGGAGGTTTTTCTCTGCATGCTGCTCTCGGCCGAGGGAGAGGAGTCTCCTGGGGGATGAGGGCATACATGTCAAGAGGAAAACCATCAGCATAGCAGGCACCGTCCCCGCCACCGCCAACCACCGCCACGGCACCACCAGACCTATGCATCACACGTTGGAAAAGGACACAATAAGGTTTCCACGCGATGACGCAGCATCACATATGGACATGAAAGCTGTCTGACTGGTGTGTTTTATGAATGCTTATAACATAACAGTTAGTTACCGAGCGCGTAGAGCGTCAATGTCCCAAACACAGCCGTGATCTGAGGGCAGGAGCCAAGAGCTCCTCTGACCTTTCTGTGGGAGATCTCGGAGATATAAACCTAAATCACGGCAGCAAAGAGAAACAAGAATCATACATCTGGTGACTTTGTGTCAATGTCTTATTGCTCTTTGTATTCAAGAGTGTAAGCTGTGAATTTATGTGAATTTATGTGTATTTATGTGTATCTTCTATCCACAGTTATCCTGGCCACCAATCTTTGGCCTTTGTTGTGTCTACCACTAGGGGGCAGTAAAGCAAAAGAGACTGTAGATAGGAGAGGAGAAGAAATGAGGGAATTAAGATGGATGCTTCGAACTGCTGCACGTGATGCAGGCTTGATTAAAGCTTTGAAAAGTAATCCTTGCCTACTTGTGGTACTCCCTGATACAACGGCCGATCTTAGCAGTCTTTTTTGTATCTGGTCTGATGACGGCAGTAGCTTTCTGAGCAAGCAAACTAAACAGAGTAAAAACAAATTTCTATAAAGGTATAAAAAACCATACTCAAAAACACACACTTATAAAATACTATAAAATCCTACTATGACCTGTAGCATTACACCGCATCGTATTGTATCAAATCATGTTTACACCATCTTATTGTAACGTACAGTTTTTTTTAACTAGATGTCTTTTGGGCAATTTTCAATTTGCACTAACTAGTTCTGCAACAAGTGCCTCAGTCAGAGGGATTTTTCATCACATTCTTATTGGACCAGAACTTTGTTTCTGTAATAGGTGAGTTAAGATTTATTGTGCAGACCTCGGCTAAACAGCAAAGTGTGATTTAAGCTAACACAAAATTAGGCCAGAGCTTTAAAATTGATCTCAGTGATTGTTGCATTAGGAACTTGACCAGTTACATATTTGACATCACTCTGCAGCCCTCTGCAGGCCAGATACTGCACTTAACTGTTTTATGGAGTAGGTAGGTGTTCAAGGGGCCACTCTTATACCTGCATTACGGCTATCAGCTGTTTTCTGTGCCGTTAGCTTTTTCAATTTGCTGATCATCAATAAAAAGCAGAAGAAGAAAAATAAGAAGAAGTTTGCTTTTCTGTTGACATCATGGCAGAGCCTGGAAGTAAAATTACTAGAGTAATGTCTTTGGAGGTGAAGCAAAGAGCTAAAACTGGAGTGAACATGATTTCATTTGTTTATTTATTTCATAAAGCACCTTCCGCATCCTTAGCAGAAACCCAAGGTGCTGAACACAACAATAGGTAACATCAGTGTGGCCTACACTAGTTTGAGGAAGCTGGAAAAGGCTTTGAAATCTCTCACTGATGATGACCTGGCTTTGTTGCTACCAGACTTGTAAGTAATAATAATGTTTATCCAATGGTGTGGATCTTTTTTTATTTGCGGCTTATTTAGTAAGACTTGGCTCATGTTAGTGTTAGATTGTTGGTAGCGCTAACTGCAGGCTGCTGCAGGCTTGCTTATGGGAGTTGTAATTCCACTTTCAGCCAGTAGAGGGCAGAGGAGCAGGAAACTGCTCTGTGCTACTTTAAATGTGTAAAACTTGTCCAGTAGTTCAATTTAGGCTAATTTCTTATGAAGACATGTTCCTGTGCTATCTCTGTGAGCTCTGTAACCATGGTAACCTACTGGAATGGATGCTGCAGTCATCCCCCCGGCAACACCAGTCAAGAAACGACCTAAATGGAGCATCCACAGATCCACTGCTCCTCCCATCAGCATGTACCTGGAACACATCACTCTGTTAATTGCTCCGTAAAATGTACCGTAAGTAGTAAAAACACAGTTGATTAAATTAAAAGTGAAAAAGCTATTTTAGAACCACATATATGTCTGAATAATCGTCTTAATCCATACGGTTTATAATTTTGTGCCACACCAACCCAATAGTCGACGGCACTGCCGACATCATGATGCTCAGCTTCCGTCCTACAAGGTCATTGAGGAGCATGGCCCCAAGCCCGCCGGCTGCTGCACCAAGAGAGTAGATGGAGCCGAACCAGGCGGCCTGTTCTGTGTCCATCCTGAGCCGAGGGTCGGCATCAGGACTTTTGAACTTTGGCAGGACGGGAGAGGAGTAGACCAGGGAGTAACCAAAGTTGAAGTTCCCCAAAACAGCCGAGAACACGGCCAGATACAGTCTGGAGTTATTTATCTGAGATGAAGAAGGTGGAGGAGAAGTGAAGAAAATACATTTTAATGCTTTTCTAATAATATTACAATGCTTTTGATCTCATGTTAGCATCTTTATAATAATTAGAAAACACATTTGCATCGAAATGATCTGCAGAGGCCAGAGTCCATGATGTTTAACCTCAGAATGGTGATAGTGGATCTTAGTTTGAGAATTAAAAAGAGAGATAATATCTCTCCTGTCTTAGCTTCCCTACATTGGCTACCTGTGAAATTCAGAATAGATTTTAAGATCCTTCTTCTCACATATAAAGCTCTTAATAATCAAGCTCCATCATACATCAGTGATCTGATTGTTCCATACGTTCCTAACCGAGCACTTCGCTCTCAGACTGCAGGTTTACTGGTGGTTCCCAGAATATCTAAAAATAGGATGGGAGGCAGATCTTTTAGTTATCAGGCTCCTCTCCTGTGGAACCAGCTCCCAGCTTTAGTCCGTGAGGCAGACACCTTGTCTGCTTTCAAGACTAGGCTTAAAACATTTTTATTTGATAGGGTCTATGGTTAAAATCTGATGTTAGCCTAGATTTGGACAAGTGGGGGAGTAGAGGGAGGTGGAGTGTACAGCCGGTAAAGATGACTCTCCCTTGCCCTGCCTCCAACATGCCTCCATCTAAAAGGCAAGGTTATCCAGAGTTATCTTTGTAGTTATGCTGCTATAGGCTTAGACTGCTGGAGGATACACTGACCACGTGTGTGTGTGTGTGTGTGTGTGTGTGTGTGTGTGTGTGTGTCTTCTTGATCCTAGGATCCTCTGGAGGTTTCTTCCTGTTAAAAGGGAGTTTTCCTCTTCACTGTCGCTATATTCTTGCTTAGTATGAGGATTGCTGTAAAGTCACTGATGCTAGTCAGTGACTCGATGCAAGTTGCTGGGTTCCTTATATAGGAAACTTTTTTCTGATTGTCTTAATGAATTGACGTGTATTGGAATGTTTATTATGTGAAGTGCCTTGAGACGACGCTTGTCGTGATTTGGCGCTTTATAAATAAACTTGACAAATGGAATAGAATTTTGACCTCATAATAACAATCTATGAAAAAACCTGCTGATCAGATATATTATTGTGAAAATACATGTATCTTCAAGCTTCTGGGTGTTATTAGCCTATATACTTCTCTTTGAAATCAGAATAAATGTGTTTTTCTTTACAGGATAGAAGATATTGTGAGAACAGGAAGTGAACCCAGTCGGTCAACAGAAAAATGCTAATTACGCAGTTTAATAATGTAAAGCAGGCAATAAAAGGTTCCTGTAACACAGAAAGCTTACAGCAATTAAACATTAAATATTAACAGATTAGTTGTGATAGTTCATAATTTCCATAATGAAAAATGATGCTTATTGTTTTGTGTTCTTTCTTCTTAAACTCACAGCTGATTTTTTTACAGAGCTCATGTTGATCATGTTGGTCCTGAGCTGTCTCAGGTTAATTTACAAGTTATTTTTTAATGTAACATTTTTTTAAACCAAAATATCTATTATTTAAGTTTTATTTTGCATTTATAGCCTCTAATTAGCTCCCATTGTTACAGTGCAGCCAGACTAGCCCTGGAGATTAGCTTCAAATGCAGTCAGTTTAAAGAAGGAAGTGTGTTTTAGGATAATCCGCCCCAACACACAGCTGTCCAACAACTGTGACAAGTTAACAGTGAAAGATCAGATCGATGCTTTAACAATATGATTCATAGATTTATTAAAATATACATTCTAATTCATTTGCAACCTGTGAATCAGATGAGGATGATTTTCTGTTCAGCAGCGGTGTGTCTTCAGCCATGGTAGCAGCAGCCGGTTGGGAAGCAGTGTGAAACTTGTTTTTAAGTAAAAAAAGAACAAAACTCACATTAATTCAAAAAATGCTGATCACAGTGGATATTCCAGCTGGAATAGTTAAAAACAGTCCCATCTACCTTGTCCAAATGCTCAGGCTGATGTTCTGGTGGATGCTTGCAGGTCAGGGCTTTCCAGACTGTTGTAATCAAGCAGGCACAGAGGACTCCAGAGGCTACGTGTGGTCATGATGAAACTGAAACAAAACATGCACAACAGCCTTTCATGAGTGAACGTCTGAGAGGAGCTTGCCGCTTTTGTGAGGTTTTTATTCTGCAGTGAAAACAAAAAGACTCAAACGAAACGGTCTAAAGTCAGATCTAAAGAACCGATCAGACCTGGTAGGTTTAGAAGCTCTGAAACGTGAGGGAAGCGATGGTGTTGTAACCAGGTCAAAACCCAAAAAGCAGAAGAGTGGACTCGGCTGGATTCCAGGATTGGGTCACTCAAAGGAAAGCAGAAGAAGAGAACCAGACCTCTCCCTCAGGAGGAAGAGAAAAGTACACAACCCCCATCACATGTAGCGTTTTACCAGTGCACATGCACACACAACAAGGAAACGGTGATGAAGTTGTGTTAGAAACACAAATATCAATACCAAAAAGTTTTCTGCCTCCATGTTTATGATGGTATTTTGCATAAACCAACAGTTTCTGCATTAAGCCCAATTCAGCTTTATTCATAAAGAAGATTTCAGGGCATCCAAGGAAGCCCAGCAGCACTAGAATCGTCTCCAGAAGATGATCCTGTGGAGGAACCAGTGAGTCATGACCATCGGTCCTGTGTCCTGCAAACAGTAAAGCATCCTGATGTCATTCATGAGGAGGTTCTCCTCAGCCAAGGGAGTGGACTCACAGTGTAAAGCCAGGGGTGGGCCTCGGGGGCCGCTCTCCAGCATGTTTTAGCTGTTTCCCTGCTCCAACACAAATGCTTCAATGGTGGAACCACCTGTTCATCTGGTCACCTGCTGATTAAAATCAGGTGCATTGAAACAGGGAAAAGGTAATACATGATGGCGGCCCACAACGACTGACCACCCCTGGTTTGGCCTCAGAACAGCCATGAATCAAGAATGGTTCCCAGAGGAACGCCTCCAAACCGCCCATGATCAGTAGCGGTTTTAGGCACGGGCAGAGAGGGCAGTTGCCCGGGGCGGCATTTTTTTATGACACAAAAGGGGCGCACAAGCGCTGAGTAAAAAATAAAAAAGAAAGAAATCTGCGGCGCCCTGAGATTTTCTATTCTATCTGTCATATGACAGTGTCTGGATTGGAAACAACAAGTTGGCGCCCCCTGCAGCTGCAGGCGCTCCTGCTGACTGAGAGGGTTCAGGTGCACCGTGTGTGTATGAAGAAGAGGAAGGGGAGGGGTGCGGCAGGGGAATTCACCTCTGGGTCTTTCCCAAATGAAATGAGCGGGTAGGGGCTGAATCAACTGTATTAACATGGCTAAAGTCAATCACATCTTGATGTTCTTCCATTTAACGCTCATTTCATTCATAATAATCATAAACACAGGCCTATCATTCTTTCAGGTTTTTCTGAATTGTGTGAAATGACCAAATAAAAAAAGGAAAAACTAAACGATTTTGTGGTCACCCCCCCATCAAGGTCGAATTGTTTAGTCCTGACTGAAGGAAACTTACTGAGTTACGAGCCAAACAGAAGAGATGAACATAAAAAGGCTAAAACCACCAGGTACCCGATTCAGGAATAAAAAGAAAAAAGAGGAGAAAGATAAAGGTATGTACGCGCTCATGATGCATGTTTTCAACTTTTTTGAACCAGTTAACTGGGATTTTAACGGTTAAATTCGGTCAACTAGTTGCTAACAGAGCTAATAGGGCTGAAACATTGAAACGAATATTCAAATGGTTCGAAAAAATTCATTGAATCGTTTTTTACTGATTCAAACTAGGATTTGTTAAATGCTCGCTGCAGCCTGTGGCCTGCCTGAACAACAACAAACACATGTTGATCATGTTCACATAATAATAAATAAAACAACTCTACAAGCAGAAGAACACTCCCCAGTCACCACTAACTATCCTGTTTATTTATTGCAGATGGCTGCACTGATTATTTTTTACATGATTTGTTCTGTAAAAGTTGGCATTTTTGGTAGTCTACAGTTTTTTTATGTCAGTTTAAATTACAATTTCAGAGGCAATTCTAAAATATTATGGATCATGATAAAGATCTTTTGGAGATCTACCCCAACTTTTGGACTGCTCTGCCAGTCACTGTGGCTCAAGCTGAGAGGAGCTTTTCAAAACTTGATCAAGTCATACCTGAGGTCAACTATGTTTCAGGGGCGGCTCACTAACCTGGCTCTGATTAGTATCAATCACTCAGTAGGGAAGCAGATTTCATATGATGACATTATTGATGACATTGCATCAAGGTTAGGTTTTAATTTTAGTTTGTGTTTTCTGTTCCAAGTGCAATGCTGTAGTGATTATCTTTAGTTTGTTATGTGTGAAATATTTATGCTATTTAGAATATTTATTATATATTATGTTCATATATTCTTAATATTTAGTTTATTGTTTGTTTTTGTATATTTGATTCTATATATTTTGATACAGTATATAATGTATAGTGCTTTACATTCTGACAACTTCATAGTAATTAATGTAAATATGTGCAACGTAGAAAAATGAATGTTCAATAGTCGTTCTAATAAAACATGCCTGTTTGCAGAAAACATGCGTGTGTTCATGCAGGTGGGGTGGTGGTGGTGGTGATGGTGGTGGTGGTGGTGGTGGTGATGGTGGTGGTGGTGGTGGTGGGGGGGCGCTCAAAGGGGGCCTCGCCCGGGAAGTAATTCCATTTAGAACCGCCACTGCCCATGAACAGTCTTTTCTAGCATGACAGAGCAAGAAAACAATTATGAAAACCGAGCAGATGGAAAACAAAATTTCAAAAACGTTGAATCCAAAACACAACCCACAACATTTGATAAACATCAATAATGCAGAATGGGCTGCCAGACGTCAGAAATTGGTCTATAGGTTGACTAAAAGCAAAATGGTTGAATTACAGAGGGACCAACACTGCAAGATAGTGAAGTTTTGCAAAAAACAAATTTAATTGTCAAATTCAGTCAGTATATCCCTGACAAAAAACACCAAAGCAGCAAACTTTGTGTAAACTGCCCTGACTTTTACACGAGGCTGCAACTTTGCACCAGAACTGACAAAAGCAAAAACCTCATTCAATTATTCTCATAACAAGACCTTTATTTGGAAGAAAAAGAACCAATGAGGCAGTGGAAAAAATAAATGCATCAAATATACAAGATGTATTTATTTGTTTGCAGATCTGGCTTATAGTTAAGACACACGCATGGAAAAGGTCAGAAAGAAGGAAGTGGTCACACCTGTTAAACAAAAACCAGATCAACATAGTTTTAGCAGATTGGTTTCTGCTACATGTAACTGAAACCAATCCTGGTTCCTCTAATGTTTAGAGCAAAATAAGAAAGTCATTGTTAGCAAAACATCCTACATGCCTATTGAGTACTGGGGGTTAAAAATGTGGGAAAAAAGAAAGTAATGTTTGTGAGTCACTTTGCATTCCTTGATTTTTACAAAATTCCAAGCAAAATATATCCAATATTGTTTCTATCTGCATAAAAAAGTAACGGTTTAGTTTAAACCCCTTAATTTGCTCAAGAGATAAAACTTGAGAAAAAAAGTGGACACAAATCTGAATGATGGCTCAGATCTTTTGATGTTTAATATTGTGTTATTTAGTGATTAAATAAATGGTGTAAGTGACAGATTCAATAAGGGGCGCAAAAGTGCTGAAAGCTGATTTTGCTCTAAAGTTGTGTGTTCCAGAGCTGATGTCACTCTTGTCAGGAGTCATTTTATCAGGGCTTTAAAATTCATGAATGGCCATAGCAGTCTTGACATTTTTTTTATTTTTTTTTTTGGAGAATTTGGGAATTTTCCTGACATTTAAATCAGAAAACTGTTGAAAGACTGTGAAAGCTAAAATAAACTAGCAACAAGTCAAATGTTAGAGCTGGGTTATCAAAGATCCACATATGAATACTCTGTTAAATGAAGACCAGAATAAAAACCACAATATGGAAGCCCATTCCTGCCACTGATTAAAAAAATGTATCTCACAATCAGTGTTGGGAGTAACGTGATACAAAAGTAATTAATTACTGTAATGCATTGCTTTTTGCTGTAATGTGGTAATGTAAGGCATTACAGGGAAAGAAAATGGTAATATTTACTCGGTACAATTGTCAGTCACGCGGTAATTATAATGCATTTTTAAACCCAGATTCAAGATGTGGGTTTCCTAAAAATTCAAATTGCGGGAAGCCTGAAAAAAGATCCAGTATCCACATATATGACGTCATTTATGGACTCAGCTTTGCGGGCATTCTATGAGAAGAAGAAGAATAGAAGAAGAACAACAACAACAACAAAATGTTATTTCTATAGCGCCTCTCAAGATAAAAATCACGAGGCGCTTTACAAAAACAAAAATGTAAAAATATAAAAAAGAATTTAGAAAATGGCTAAAAATATATTTAAAATGGGCAAAAATAGACAATTGTGATTAAAAAACAAAATGTTAAGAAAAGAGGGAAATCAGTGGATCCTGAGGAAGGTGGAATAGGTGGGGAGAGCAGAATAAAGAGAGAAAAGCAGAGCAGAATGAGCGGTAATGGCTCAAATACTCCAGCTGCGTCCTGCACGCAGCTGCTGTTATATTCACAAAATCGCTCCACCAAAACAAGGTAATTCGTTTTGCCCATATTCTCTGGTACTTCATGTACTTTTCAGCTGAGTTCATAATCTGTGCCCCGGTGATTTGAACTCATTGCTGATGGAGCGCAGCGCATATTAAGCTTTAATTTATTTTTTTATTTATTTGTGTTCGGTTGATCCCTTTGGCTGATTAATTAGAAAGTAGGAAATCTAGGAAACAGTTTTTCTGGAAGACGGAGAAAACATGCAGCATGCAGGAAGGTTAGAGAGAGAAAGGGCATCAAATTATTCAAATAAAATCAAAAAAACAAAACAAAGTGCTTGAAAAGAAAAAAACAAATAGGTAGATTTATCCCCAATAGACATTTTTACCAGTGAAAAGCAATAATCTATATAAGCATTTAATATTTATACATGTGATGGAATCATATCACCCCAGAAGTCAGTCCCACATCCAGGGCCGTATCAAGGCATTTGGGGACCAAGGCAAATATAGGCTTGGAGCCCCCACCACCTCACTCCCTGCTCAGTTAATATAAGATGGCAGCGTGTCGAGAGTACAGATTGTTGTTGCTTTTATTTAATAAACAATCATTTTAAAGCACTGTTATTTTATCTGACTGTTTTTAACAGCAATCCTAGCTCAAACACCACATCACCTTCCACATATATGTCATGAGCTCACTGAGCGTCAGATTACCAGATTCATATTGAAGTTTTATTGGTGAAAGTAACTTAAAGTAATGCAAAAGTAGTGTAATGTCTTACATTTTAAAATCAGTAGTATTGTAATGTAATGACTTACTTTAAAATGAGGGTAACAAGTAATAAATAATGCATTACAGTTTTGAAGTAACTTGCCCAACACTGCTCACAATTATGACTTAGCTGTCTGATAATAATAAGATATCTCATAATTATAAGGTAATTTTTTTTCTTTTTATCAGAGTGGCAGGAATGGACTTCCATACAATGCAAAGGGCTAGTTAAAGAGCAAGTCACCCCCTACCAGAGTATTACTCCACTCCCACTTCCTGTTTGAAAAATGCAACACATGGTGTTGCCTAGCAGACCGAGAGGGCGGAGCCGCTAACAAATACACACACATAGACTCACAATGACATTGTGACATCATATGGTACCAGCTAACGTCCTAGGGTACCTCTTAGCCAATAGCAATGGCAGATTGAAATTCAAATACAGTGCATAGTTTTTACCTGACAACAGCACAACACTGACAGTTTTAGGCAGAAAATTAAAATGTTTACTAAAATTCACTAAAGGGCAAAACTATTTACTACACGTGTCTGCAGCAGGATTAGACACGCATTTATATAGTTTATCAGAAAAAAAGTTGATTTGGGGGTGACTTGCTCTTTAAGACAAAAATTTTAATCTTGGATTAAAAAAAACTATATTTATATTTTATATTATATATATATATATATATATTTTTTTTCTTCTTTATTTAAAAAAAAGATATATATGTATTTTTTGTTGTTGTTGCTGTGTTTTGACAAAAATTTCTGATGCAACATTATAATTCCCAAATTTATGAGATTTATAAGAATGGAACAACAGAATAAAAAAGAAGGTAATTAGGGACAGGAAGTTGGCTCCCTGGTTTTATTCTCATTTACGAGCTTTAAAACAAAACTCTAGAAAATTGGAGAGAACATGGCGCTCTACGCACCATGAGGAGGCCTACCTATCCTGGAAAAATAGTCTTGTGCTTTATAAAAATAAGCTTCGACAAACTAGAACTGCTTATTACTCAGCGTTAATTCAGGAGAATAAGAATAATCCTAAATTTCTTTTCAGTACAGTTGCTAAACTTACACAGAATCATAGCTCTGAGCCATCTATTCCCTTAGCCCTCAGCAGCAATGACTTCATGGGATTTTTTACAAGTAAAATTAATTCTATTAGAAACAAAATCTTTAGCATCCTCCCTAATGCGATTTCTTCTTCCTCAGTAAGTGAGGCAGCATCAGAGGTGACTGTAGAACCTCATCTGTGCTTGAACCGTTTTGATCCAGTTGAGCTTTCAGAGTTATCAAAAATATTAGCTTCATTTAAACCTTCAACTTGCATTTTGGATCCAATCCCAACCAAATTATTTAAAGAAGCATTTCCTTTGGTTACCGCCCCCATTCTAGATATAATCAATCTATCCTTAATAAATGGATATGTACCACAAGATTTTAAGGTGGCTGTAATCAAACCTTCACTTAAGAAGCCTTCTCTGGATCCAGATGACCCAATGAATTATAGACCAATATCTAACCTTCCATTTTTATCCAAAGTCCTGGAGAAAATAGTGGTCATCCAAGTATGTGAGCATTTAAACACTAATGCTCTGTTTGAGGAATTTCAGTCTGGTTTTAGAGAGTATCACAGCACTGAAACTGCATTAGTGAGAGTTACAATTGATATTCTCATGGCCTCAGATAAGAATCTTGTGTCTGTTCTAGTCTTGTTAGATCTCAGTGCTGCTTTTGACACAGTTGATTACAATGTTCTTTTAGAAAGACTTGAACATGTTGTAGGGATCATAGGAACAGCGGCTGGTTTAAATCCGACCTGTCTGACAGATTTCGTTTTGTAAATATACATGACAAATCTTCTTCATACTCCAGGGTTACTTGTGGAGTACCACAGGGTTCAGTGCTTGGACCAATTCTTTTTACTATATATATATGCTCCCAACTGGTAAAATCATTAGACAGCATGGGATAAACTTCCACTGTTATGCTGACGATACTCAGTTGTATTTATCCATCAACCCTGATGAACCTAATCGGTTGGGTAGATTACAGGCTTGTCTTGAAGACATAAAAAACTGGATGACTCTAAACTTTTTGCTTTTAAATCAAGACAAGACGGAAGTTCTCATCTTTGGACCAGAAATCCAGAAAAGGAAATTGCTTAGTCAATCACCTGACCTGAATGGCATTAAATCAGTCTCCGAGAACAAAGTAAGGAACCTTGGTGTTATCTTTGACCAGGACATGTCATTAAAATCTCACATTAAACAGGTTTGTAGGATTTCCTTTTTCCACCTTCGGAATATAGCTAAGATTAGATGCATCCTTTCCAGGAGTGATGCTGAAAAACTAGTTCATGCATTTATTACATCAAGACTGGATTACTGTAATTCATTACTCTCAGGAAGTCCACAGAATGTAGTTAAAAGGCTTCAGCTAGTCCAAAATGCTGCAGCTAGAGTTCTGATGAGAATTAAAAAGAGAAATCATATCTCTCCTGTCTTGGCTTCCCTACTTGGCTACCTGTTAAATTCAGAATAGATTTTAAGATTCTTCTTCTCACATATAAAGCTCTTAATAATCAAGCTCCATCATACATCAGTGATCTGATTGTTCCATAAGTTCCTAACTAAGCACTTCGCTCTCAGACTGCAGGTCTACTGGTGGATCCCAGAATATCTAAAATTAGGATGGGAGGCAGATCTTTTAGTTATCGGGCTCCTCTCCTGTGGAACCAGCTCCCAGCTTTAGTCCGTGAGGCAGACACTTTGTCTGCTTTCAAGACTAGGCTTAAAACATTTTTATTTGATAGGGCCTATGGTTAAAATCTGATGTTAGCCTAGATCTGGACAAGTGGGGGAGTAGAGGGAGGTGGAGTGTACAGTCGGTAAAGACGGCTCCCCCTTGTCCTGCCTCCAACATGCCTCCATCTAAATAGGATAGATTATCCAGTTATCTCTGTAGTTATGCTGCTATAGGCTTAGACTGCTGGAGGACACACTGACCACTTTCCACACTCTACTACTTTCTTCTACAATCTGCTCTTTAACTGTATTATTTCCTGCTATTTCAGCTGTTAACTTTATTTTTTCTCTAAGATTTTTCTCCCCAGAAGAAGCTACAACGATGTTCTGCTGAGCTGTGGTGGCCTCATGGAGGGGCCATCGTCTAGCACACTGCTGCTAACCACTTAAACATTCTCCCTCTCCTGATAATAACTTTTTGCTTTCTTTAACACTGAATGTGCTACTACCAGTTTACCCGTTTAATTATAGATTCACTAGGATAAATACAATAAAGTTTATCTCTCACCAAATAGAATATTTACTAAGAAATCACAATGTAACCATTGACACATTGCTTGGTGTGTGTGTGTGTGTGTGTGTGTGTGTGTGTGTGTGTGTGTGTGTGTGTGTGTGTGTGTGTGTGTGTTCTGTCTTCTCGATCCCCAGTGAGTCGTGGTGGATGGCTGCTTATACGGAGCCAGGATCCTCTGGAGGATTCTTCCTGTTAAAAGAGAGTTTTCCTCTCCACTGTCGCTAAATGTATGAGGACTCCTGTAAAGTCACTGACACTAGTCAGTGACTTGATACAATTTGCTGGGTTCCTTATATAGGAAACATTTTTTCTGATTTGCTTAATAAACTGACCTGGATTGGAATGTTCCTTATGTGAATTGCCTTGAGATGACTCTTGTCGTGATTTGGCGCTATATAAATAAAATTGAATTGAATTGAATTGAATATTGTCATTTCCCTTTTTGGTTGAGTGGTTCGGGCAAACAATGTTGCACAAATTTCAAGAAATTTATATTTGGCCACATTTAAGAACGACAAGTTAACAATTATTTTCCCAGTACAAAGATATACTCAGAGTTATATTTTAAGTAAATGTATGAATATTTACTGTATGAATAATATTATTCGTCCTTTTTGAGAGCTTTTCGTTGCTTGAATCTGAAATGAAAGTTGTGTGTTAAATCTTTTTCATTTTTTTCTTTCATAAGTAAACAAAAGATTAAACAAGTTTAATGTGAATATATTTATGTAAAACAAACATATTTCTATAAACATGAGATTTTTTAAACCTTTGTAGTTCAGCTCGAACTGCTTTTGTGCGCAAAATTAGCACAATCCGTAATACTACATGTACCAGAATGCAGTGCGGCAGAGAAGCATTTTTGACCCTACACGCGAGCCTTACAAAATATCACGAGTTACCAGAGATGATGGGAGCGGAACGGGAGAGAGCAGTAGTCGCAGTTAGCCAGCTAAAGCTGAAGTTAATGTAGTCTTGTTGACGTTTGGCGTTGCGAGTCTCCGGAGGACGCCATGGCGAACATTACCAAGAAAGTGTCCTGGTCCAGCCGAGGCGACGAGTCCGGGTCACCGTGGGAGGGAACTCCGCTGCTCAACGGTTCCGAGCAGCCCTCAGTGTCCAGACAGGTAGATGCTAACACGGCGCGAAACTCACGCTAACAGCTGTTTAGTATAAATAAAAGATGCAACATGACATAATGAGCACCTGGAGGTTGTTTAGAGTCTTGTTTTTGAATGCTGCATGGGGTTTGCTTCAAACAACAGTCATGTTTTCATCTGGTATGGCTTGCATCGACTTCAAACGAAAGTAATCACATTAGTGTCAATTAAATTACGTAATTTGGTTTATTTATCAGGACAACATTTTAGAAATGAGTTATTTTTGTTTTCCATGGTACTGAGATTCATAATAGTCATAATAATAATAGTAGTAATAATAATGTAAATGTATACATAAAGTTTAAGTAGAGTCGTGTTAATAGACCAAATACTTGTAAAGTTCAGATCAATTATCTGGAACATTTTACATCCTTTCTCTTCATTTTCCAATATGTTTTACAGATATTTAGTTAAATATTTGCTGAACTAGTAAGCCTTACAGTATTTAGTGTTGCATTCTCCCCAAAATACAGATGTTGCTTGAGTAAAACAGACTCAAATGTACTTATTTAGATATTTACTGTGATCTTGAGTACATTATGATTAAACATACTTGCAAACACTTACCGTACCTCTCAGACACATCACGTTATATTCAAATTCTAAACCGATGGTAATGCATCAGCCTGGACGTTAATACTGGAAGCCATATTTTTGTGATTGTTTGTGGTGTCTAGTTGTCTGGAGGAAGGAGTATATTTCAGATAGGCAGACTCAGCACGGTGGATTTGGAAGACGAAATAACAGCAGAAGAGGTAAAGTTGAAGCTCCAGTTGCCATCGTGCTCTCCTTGTGTCTGTTGCTTCCTTCAAGTCATTGCTCGAACTACAGATCTCTATGTTTATTACGTCCTAGACTAGAATAATAATAAGAATAATCAGTGAGTAACGATTCAACCTCATGGTCTTGTGGTGTAAAAGATCTAATCTAAGCTGTGATTTAGAGAGAAGGTAGAGTTTTCAGGTTTTACTGTCTTCAACGTTTTTAGATGGAAATGTCCCTAGCTTAATCTGGTACATCTGAGACTGTGACGGCTGACTCACTCAGCGTGCTTGGAGGGCATGTGTCTGATGGTTTCCACTGTGAAGCACAGCAAATATAGAGATTAATGCAGGGCATGTGTTTGTTAATGTGCAGCCACTTCAACTGATTCAACCATCTAATGTTTGAAGAATGAAGCCGACAGTTTTAGTCAGAGAAGCCATACTGTTAGCAGCACTCTTACTAGGGGTTTGCACAGAAAACATTTCACAGACGCCAATAAAATCATCAATATTTGGTGAAGTCAGTATGTCAGATTCTCTGAATTGTGTTTTTTGTTTAAAATAATTAGTCTTACCCATGGTAGACAACTTCCCAGGCAGCTATTCTTCATATAAGTAGCTTTGAGCCTGATGAGCTAACTGCTAGTCTGAGGTTAACTAAGATCAGAGTGGATTGATGCTGAGGGTCATATTAAGCAAAAGTCACTTGGATCCTTTTGTGCTGCCATGTGGGTTTCTACAGCCTCTATACACACTCCAAAACAGAATAAAAAATCAGTTTATACTTTTTCTGTCAGTGTTTGTTTTTAGGAATTATGTACCAAAATCAGCTGTTTCAAAAGTCCCCAATTGTGACATCACAAACAGTGAAAGTATTATAGAACCACCTCTCAGGAAGGGAAGCTGGAAGAGACAGCAGCTGCTGGTGGAGCTCTACTCTGACTTCCTCCTGGATTTCAGAGCTTCTCAGCATATAGCAGCCTGATTGAGGGAGGGCTGGGCGTGGCTAGCTCCAGCTGTGACACAGTCCTTAAAAGGCTCATTCTGGATGGAACTGAAAATGTCAAGAGTAAAACTGCTGATATTGATTTATGTGAGAGGGATTTTCTTTTTACAAATAACTTCATAGATATGTTTATGTTGACCATAGAACTATTTTTATTTAAGAAAAAAGGTCACAATACATCCTCAACTCGTCAAACTGGTTCATGCAAAAAAATAAAGCACACAGGGGTTTAAAGGCTTAATTTATTAACAGGATTGGAGCCAATTGTGATGGCAGCATTGCATTTTGGTCGTGTGTGTTCTCAGACTGGGGGTTAGCTTATCGCTGCTGAAGGAGAAGCTGCTGTGGCTTTTCAGGAAGCTAAACAAATGATTTATAACACATTTCAGAACATAATTTAAATGACTCAATAGAGTTAAAATACCAGACAACCAGCATCTGTCATGACAGGAAGTCACCCCTCCCTCCCCCCACTGACCTGAACCATTGCATGTTGGGTTTTTGCTGTCAGAGGGGAATGCGACCCCAAACATGTGATTGGCTTCTTTGTTTGCACCACATTTAGTGCGCCTGTCTTTTTGAATGGAGTCTTTTATGTGTCTGCAGCTATGGATTGTAGTGTACACATGTGTGATACAGATGTGCAGCAGAAGCTGCTGTGTATGTGAATGTAAAGCAGCTGACCTCTACTGTGCCTGCAGCTGGTTTGTGTTCATAATGCACATAAACAAGCATTTCCTCCAACGTTTTATCTGTATTGGTTAGGGATGCACTGATGTAAATTGTTTTGGGCCAATGCCGATATCCGGTATTGATATCACTGTTATGGCTGATAACTGATATTTGCCGATACTGATTTACGCTCCTGAAATCAGCAAATTCTGAATAGACTGAAGTTTGGAATGTTTTGCTTTATTTCTATAAAGTTGAATTTGCAGTATGTTACACACACACACACACACACACACACACACATTTATGCTTCTGAGATGATTACCATCACTGTCACATGACTAAACAATTACACATCATCCCCCCCCCCCCCCCCCCCCCCCCACACACACACACACACACCCTCTGAAACAGATACACAAACGGAATCAAGATGGAAAAAATATCGGTTGTTAACATCGGCCCAGTTTTACTTATCGGACCGATACCGATATGTAGAAAAAATGACTAACATCCGCTGATATCGTGCATCCCTAGTATTGGTAAATAAACACAAACATCACACCAAACACTGGAGGAAATGCTTTGTGCTACCGTGTCTTTCATCTGTCTTTTATTGATGCAGCTTTCCTCTTAGCTTTCAAGAGTCCGTAAAACATCTGTCATGTTGTTATAAGTGCTTACACTTCACTCCTGGTATTTTTAAAGTCTCATGCATCTGGTCAGGGGTCGGTGTTGGAGTGTTGACCCCCTTCTTTCATCATCTTATCTCCTGCAGGACTCGAGAGGGCGGCCCAAAGAGATCCCACACAATGAGAAGCTGCTGTCACTTAAATATGAGGTGAAACACGTCGTTTAATTCCATTAATGCAGTTGTGTGATCACATAGAGGTTGTGTTTGATGAATGTTTGACTGCATCTGTTGCGTCAGAGTTTGGACTACGATAACATCGAGAACCAGCTGTTTCTGGAGGAGGAGAGGAGGATGAGTTTCGGGGTAAGGCCAGCCGAAGGAGCGCCATGTCTGCATGTCGCTCAACCTCTCACCTCTCTGTCACTTCTCTGTCTTCTCCCGTCGCTTCAGGGCTTCCGTTGTCTGGAGATCAGCCGCTGGGTGGTCTGTGGTCTGATTGGCTTTCTGACTGGACTTGTCGCCTGTTGTATTGACATAGTGGTGGAGGAGATGGCTGGACTCAAGTACAAAGTGATTAAAGAGAGTATCCTGAGAATGGCTTTGCACCCTTTGGTTTCGTTGTGAGTGCCGTGCGGCTGAGTGGGAGGTGGGAAGTGGTCGAAAGGAGAAGTTCTGTCGTGCACAAACCATCTTTGTTCTGTTATTAGTTTTTGTTTTCCACCACAGATGTGTTTTTTGCCGCTTTCTTCTGCTTTGTGTAGAAATCTTGGACAAATAACAATAAAGATTATTCACAACCCCCTTTATAATTAAGACTTTTTAAGTTTGAATTTCGTGAAAATGTATTTTTCTTTATTAACTGCCTGATTTCAGCGCTCTTGGACTCGTCCTTAACTCTGGCCTTTCTCAGACATAGTTAAGTCCACAGAAGCAGGCGGGCTGTCCATCTCTCTCATCCTGTGGGCCGTCCTCAACTGTGCGTTCGTCATGGTGGGAGCCATCATGGTTGCGTGTTTTGAGGTAAAGTTGAAAAACTTGATGCTGATGATGATAAAGAATGTTTGTAGTTTGTAACAAAATCATATCTGTGTCAATGGATTTTGTCAAATTTCATAGTTTAAAGTAACGCTTACCGTATTTTCGGGAGTATTAGTCGCACCAGCCATAAAATGTATAATGAAGAAGAAAAAAACATGTATAAGTCGCACTTTGGGGGGAAATTTTATTATTTTTCTTACAAAATCCGAGACCAAGCGTTTCACATTGCAAGACAAGTACCGGTAATAACAATAAACAACCAGGGCGCAGCAGCTCGCCACGGTCTCCAGCAGAGGATGGCGGTGTTTGAAACCCTCAAAGCGGGGCAGAGGAGCTCATTCCTGGGTCGGAGCCGGCCCGCAGCAACGCGGTATACATAATTTGGTATATAAGTCGCACGACCAGCCAGACTATGAAAATAACTGCGACTTATACTCCGGAAAATACGGTAATACTTTTCCGTTTCTACCGCCTACTGGTTGAAAGTGGTAAACAACCCTGCTGTAGCTAACGCTAACAACAAGCTAATGATAACACAAGCCAATACTAAATAAGCCACGAATTTAAAAGATCCACAATGTTGGACAAAAGTCTATTATTACTAACAAGTCCAGTAACAACAAAGCCAGGTCACCATTTTCGTAGCCTCCTTTAGCTAAACCAGTGTAGGCTGCGCCGATGTGCACTCTGGTTTTAGCCCTTTCCTTCACCTCCAAAGACATCACTCAAAAAGCTAAAATCTTCTCTTCTTGTGCTTTTTATTGACGATCGGCAAACGAAAAAACTGCTAGCCTTTATATTAGCTACCGCCTACCGGTGCAGTAAACGGCTATAACTGCGGTAGAGCAGGTAGAGACCTTCCACTAGTGTTCCTACTCAAGCCACATAACTGCTAAGTGCAGGTTCTGAGCAGCAGAAAGCTGCAGAGTGCTGTCTAATGTGAAGCGGCTCAAGAATCACTGACACGATTTTGAAAGCAATATCTTAAAGTGTTTAGTGTTCTTTTCAACAACGTATTTCCTACTGTCTCTCCCAGCCCATAGCAGGAGGAAGTGGTATTCCACAGATAAAATGTTACCTAAACGGAGTAAAGATTCCCAGAGTGGTTCGACTGAAGGTACGGACTCGTTAACGGATGTACATCTGTCAGTCTGAGCAGAATAAAAGCCACTCTCGTCTAACGTTTTCCTTGTTTGTGCTCCACAGACACTGGTGGTGAAAGTGTTAGGTGTGATGTGTTCAGTAGTGGGCGGTCTCGCTGTCGGAAAGGTAAACCAAAGCGATAGTAAAGTAACGTTTGTGTTATCTGCTCACCAGCAAAACAAGCCTTTACAGATGTTTACTCTTGTTTACCCACAATCCTTTAGGAAGGTCCCATGATTCACTCTGGTGCTGTTATAGCTGCAGGGGTCTCTCAGGGAAGAAGCACCTCCTTAAAGAGAGACTTTAAGGTCAGACTACACTGTTCCCGTGTGTGTGTGTGTGTCACCTGTTCATTCGTTTGTATTAAAGGCAGATTTTTGTGTCTAGATGTTTGAATACTTCCGGAGGGACACCGAGAAGAGGGACTTTGTGTCTGCCGGAGCTGCTGCGGGAGTTTCTGCTGCTTTTGGAGCACCCGTTGGTAAAAACGCACAAACCGTAGCACAGGCTTACACCACGCTCTGTTCCTGAGCTGATCCTCTTTTGTTAGTTTAGCGTCTGCAAAGCCAGCTGGACACAAGTCTACATGTAGAAGGAAAGTTGTTTTCTACGCTGATTCAATAGAACTGGCCAGGTTCGTGTCCTCAGTCCATCCAGTGAAGACGAAACATCAGATTTGTTTTCAACTGAGAAATAATCCCAAGTCCAGGTGACATGAGGAAATGCTTCATGACTTAATTTAGTTTAACTTTAACATCCAGTCACTTCTGACCGTATTTGCTGCACATTTTGGTCATGAGGAGATTAATGGAAAACAGTCAAATGTGCTTATTGCTTAATAGAGTGGCCGTTCTTTTTGATGCTGCTGAGATCGGCTCAGTTTCTGTTAGCAGGTCACCTGTTCTGCCTGCAGAGGGCGTCTGGTCCCGCCACATTATTAGTCTGCTCTGAGTTACACACGGGATATGAATCCTCCTTTCCTTTCTTGTAAACCCTTTAAAATGCTCATTATGTCCTCTTTTTAAATATGAAACAAGGTTCTTTTTGCTTGGGACATGAAGGTGTTTCTAGTGACGATCGGTTGAAACATGCAACTAGAAACACCTTCATGTCCCAAGCAAAAAGAACCTTGTTTAATAAAACAGGATATGAATCCTCTCTGATTATTTTACCTTCATTTATATGGAAATCCTGTTCATTCTATAAAAAATACTGGTATTAATAAATACCTCATTGAATAAATATCCTCATGAAATAAAAACTAAATAAATATTTAAAAGCATTTTTATGGGAGCTGATTTAGTCACTTAGTTTTATTTGTTTATTCGTTTTCTAAACCTTCAGCATCTTTTTATTCAGTCATCAGTGTTCTTATAATCAGATGAGGGATCAGGTCTGGTCTGAGTGCAGTGCTAACAGAAGTATTTATTTGTTTTTAACTAATAATTATAAATGAAACTCCTGTTTTGTCGTTGAAAGTTTACTGTTATTTTTCACGGAAGCATTCAGAAGTAAAGCTAAAACCGTTAACTAATCATTGATGCTACCGTCATTGTGTGAAATCCATTTTTGAAAGGTAAAAGTAGGACTCCTGAGGTGGATTTTCACTACAAGCTTTCCCAGTTTGTTCTGGTGTAGTTAACGTTTTATTTTACAACCTAGAAAATATGTTTTCTGTGTTATTTTGTAATGAATTAAAAAAACAAACAACTTAACTAATAAGTGTGTGTATTTATTTTTTCTACCGTGACATAATGCGTCATAAATAATTGCAGTTGTTGACTGATGAAGTGTTTTTGTTCAACAGGCGGTGTTTTATTCTCTCTTGAAGAAGGAGCTTCTTTCTGGAACCAGATGTTGACGTGGAGGATTGTGAGTCATGTGCTCACACCGCTTAGAGCCGTCACAGATATAACTCACACGATGGAATGATCTTTTGTTTTCGTCTCCTGCAGTTTTTTGCCTCCATGATCTCCACCTTCACTCTGAACTTCTTCCTCAGTATTTATCACCACAAGCCCGGAGACCTCTCCAATCCAGGTCTCATCAACTTTGGACGCTTTGAGAGCGAAGTGAGAAACTAGCTACTTACATTTAGTCACTCGTCCCCTTCTGGTGGTGTCAAACCTCTAAATTTGATTTTTTCATCATCAGATTATGTCGTATAATCTCTACGAGATTCCTTTGTTCATCGCAATGGGAGCGTTAGGTGAGAACACGTCAAAATGTTTACGGTGAATGAAGAGGAGTTAATACTGTTAACAGTTGGTGGATCCTGGCTTCATTTTAAAGTTAAATCATCTCATGCTGATTTAAAAAAACCTTCAGAAAAGGTTGACCGACTGTAAATGCATCAGGATTGTGTTTAACGTCTTGGTTTTGTCTTACTGCAAGTTACCACCCTGGCATTTAAAGGTGTGGTTCGCTGAAAAAACTGTTTTTAAATGATAAATGACCCGCACTTGTACAGCGCCTCTCAGAGTAAGGACTCCAAAATGCTTTAAGGTTGGTTTATGCTTGACGCATCCGCGAGGTTCGCACGGCTCCGCGCGGAGAAATTGCGTCATTTTAACAACCACGCCCCTCCACCGCGTCTTCGCACGGCCCAAAATTTCCGCAACGAGCACCTTGGAAAATTTCTAACCACGTGGACGGTCGGACGCGGAAAAACATGGCGGACCGGCAAGAACTAGTACGGGAGAGATTCGTAAATACAGACATTTGTATGATTCAGCTCTCAGATATCACCGTGATCAACATGTTGTTAATTCTTGGAGAGGAATAGCTTGCACTGTCGGAAAAGACGAGGACGCTGTTAAAAATGCTGGAATGCCATGTTGTAAACAGTAATTTCTACTTCTACTACGGTGTACTGTTGGATGCATGCTGTAGAGCTCCATGCTGCCCCCTACAGTTTGGGAGAATATTGGCTCACCGCAGGGACAAGCCGCATGAACCATAAACGCTGCGAGTTGTGAAGCGCGTTCCATCCGCGAGCCGCATCACCAAGCGGAAAGTGAATGCGTCAAGCATAAACCAAGCTTTACACTACAGTGTATCATTCATCCATTCACACACACATTCACACACTGATGGTGATGAGCTACGATGTAGCCACAGCTGCCCTGGGGCGCACTGACAGAGGCGCCACCGGTCCCACCGATCACCACCAGCAGGCAAGGTGGGTTAAGTGTCTTGCCCAAGGACACAACAGCTCTGTCCGGAGCCGGGATTGAACCTGCAACCTTCCGATTACTGGACAACCTGTTGACCTGTAGGATTATTTCTAATTATTATCGGTCACTCTGAGTTTTTCATGCAGGCTGAACATGAAAAAAGTCTCCTACACCTATTTCCTGCGTTAGCTTCTGGTTGTGTTGTTTGTGGAGATAAAACATCGGTGTTACAGAACAAATGGACTCACCGGGTGGAGTCGCTTTTCTGCCAATCAGAGTTGAGATGTCCGATTATCCGGAAGTCTCCTCTGAACTACTCACAGGATAGGATTCCTCTCTGATTATTTACATTTTACTTTCATTATATGGAAATCCAGTAAATAAAATACTGTTATTAATAAATATCCTCATGAAATAAAAAATAGATAAATATTTAAAAGTATTTTTAATGGGAGCTGATTTAGTCACTTACGGTCTTATGTGTTAGTTAATTTTGTAAACCTTCAGCATCTTTTTATTCAATCATCAGTGTTCTTATGATCGAATGAGGGATTAGGCCTAAACTATGGAAGGATGCAGAAGTTGTACCGGTTCCTAAGGTCAGACATCCAGGTATTTTAAACGATTTCCGCCCTGTTGCTCTAACTTCAGTTTTAATGAAAATCTTTGAAAAGCTGGTTAGATGCGAGCTTTTAGAGCAGACACAGCAACTGCTGGATTCTCTACAGTTTGCATATCAGGCTGGGAGGGGTGTTGGATATGCTTTTTCATCATCTGGACCTGGTAGGAACTCATGCTCAACTCCTCTTTGTGGACTTTTCGTCCGCTTTCAATACAATCCAGCCTCATGCTTTGGTTAATAGGAGTAAAAGTATGCTTGGGTGGATACTAGATTTTATGAGCAACAGAACACAGAAGGTCAGAGTGAATAGCACCCTGTCGGATAACAAAACCGTGTCTACCGGATCTCCCCAGGGCTGTGTTTTGTCCCCCTTGCTGTATATTTTATACACTAACGTGCCGAAGCAAACATGAGAGAAGGACAATTATTAAATATGCTGATGATTCGGTAGTAGTAAGTCTCCTGAGAGAAGGGGAATACAACCATGGACCTGTTCTTGAGGATTTCATCTCTTGGTGTGATGAATCATTTCTACAACTTAATGTAATTACAACAAAAGACATGATCATCGATTTTAGAAGGAAGCCACAACAACAGCATGATATTTCCATAATTAAAGGTCAAACTATTGAGCAAGTGAAATCATATAAATAGGGCTGCATGGTGGAGCAGTGGTTAGCACTGTTGCCTCGCAGCACGAAGGTCGCAGGTTCGAAACTCGGCTGCGGCCTTTCTGCGTGGAGTTGCGTGTTCTCCCCATGCATGCGTGGGTTTCCTCCGGGTACTCCGGTTTCCCCCACAGATCACAACAAGCCCTATAGGTTATAAATTGTAAGTCGCTTTGGTTAAAAGTGTCTGCTAAATGAATAAACATAAATATTTGGGGACAGTTGTTGATAGGGAGCTGAATTTTGAGGAAAACTGATGCAGTGAGTAAGAAAGGCCAGCAACGTTTGTACTGCCTTAGGAAAACTGGCCTTATTCCATGTGTCGTTGTCGTCTTCCTCCACTTATCCGGGTCGCGGGGGCAGCATCCCGACTAGGGAGCTCCAGACCGTCCTCTCCCCGGCCACCTCCACCAGCTCCTCCGGCAGGACCCCAAGGTGTTCCTGGACCAGATTGGAGATGTAACCTCTCCAACGTGTCCTGGGTTGGCCCGGGGGCCTCCTGCCGGCAGGACATGCCCGAAACACCTCCCTGGGGAGGCGTCCAGGAGGCATCCTGACCAGATGCCCAAACCACCTCAACTGACTCCTCTCGATCCGGAGGGGCAGCGGTTCTACTCCGAGTCCCTCCCGAATGTCCGAGCTCCTCACCCTATCTCTAAGGCTGAGCCCGGCCACCTTCGGCCACTTGTACCCGCGATCTCGTTCTTTCGGTCATTACCCAAAGCTCATGACCATAGGTGAGGATTGGGACGTAGATTGACCGGTAAATCGAGAGCCTGGCTTTCTGGCTCAGCTCCCTCTTCACCACGACAGATCGGCTCAGCGTCCGCATCACTGCAGATGCCGAACCAATCCGCCTGTCGATCTCCCGATCCCTCCTACCCTCACTCGTGAACAAGACCCCAAGATACTTAAAGTCCTCCACTTGAGGTAGGACCTCTCCCCCGACACGGAGTTGGCAGTGGCATGTGGACAGGACTATAATGTCCATGTTTTATTGTTCTTTTATTGAAAGTGTTTTATCCTTTTCCTTAGCCTCATGGTTTGGTCGGGCAAATCTTAAGCAATAGGAAACGCTAAACAGGATAGTAAAGTGGTCAGGTTGTCTGCTTACAGTGGACAGGTAGAGAGGATTGCTAAAGCTATTGTTAGGGACACTGGCCACCCACTGCATGCCCAGTTTACTCCTGCCATCTGGACGGAGACTTATTGTGCCAAAGTGCAGGACCAAGAGGTATAAAATGAGCTTTATTGCCGAGGTAGTAACGTTACTCAATAAGAATTGAGTCTGGCGTGTCTATTTTATTATTTATTTTTAATTATGTTTTTTTTTAATTTACTTATTCTTTATTCTTCATCGATGTGTGTGCATTGTGGCTGTGTGTATCTGTGTGTAACCTGGGCGCTAATTCTCGTGTCACATGGCAAATCCAATTTACCTGTGGGTATTAATAAAGTGACCTTGACCTAGGTCGGGTCTGAGAGCAGTGCTAATAAAAGTATTTCTTTAATTTGGGATGAAATGGCTTTCCATATCATGTGTAATCTTTTAAACTGACATAGAGCTATTTTTTTTCTGAAGACATATGCAAGACAGGGAAGATGTAAAGTTCATGTCCAATTATCAGGAAGTAAGATTCCAAATTCAAAGATACTTTAGTAATCCCAGAGGGAAATTAGAGTTTCAGTACACACAATTCTGAGACGGGTCGTGCTACCTTAAGACTGAAGCCTGCCGTCTGAAGCTCTCCTCTGATCTGGCAGTGTGCTAGATCCTGAAACGGGAGCAGCAATTAGTTTTGTATCCAGAGAACGTCTTACAAAGCACTAATTCCTACTAGAGACCACTGCAGGTGGATTGAATAAACGAGTGAACCACACCTTTAAACACTGGTTAGAAGAAAACATTCTAATTCTTCACATAAAAAGTTATTCTCACAAAGAAAGCAGCTCTTGCTGTTAAAGTCGCCTCACAGAAAGTGGATCATTACAAGAACATGTGAGAACAAAGAACTCTTCCTAGTATGACTTATCACTAGGATTACTAAGAATGCACGTTCTAATGCTGAAGCACGGAGGTGGCAGGGCAGATATTTGTAAATGTCATCATGGACTTGTGTAAATTTAATCTGAATGATAAAAGGGATCCTAATCCCTGGGAGTTTTGCAGATCATTCTAGCAGCTCTGCTAAAATAATCTTATAAATGTCTAATTTTCCCTCTGATGCTTTCTTTAGGTGGATTTTTGGGAGCTTTGTTCAATGTGCTCAATTACTGGCTGACCATCTTCAGAATCAGGTATGATCGTGAAAAAAAAAACTGGAAAAATTAGATTTACACAAAAAAAATCTTCAGGATTAAAGTGATGCTGTTTTATTTTGAGTTTGACAGCAACACAAAGAAAGGGTGTGGATCCAAAAGGAAGAATATTTTAAGTCCTAAGAGTTTCTCAGTATATGTCCATCACATGACTGAATTTAGTAAAGAATAGTCTGATCGCGGCTAATCTGAGCGGGAACCTTCATCCTGGGATGAAGCCACACGGTGTGCAGTTAGAAAACTCTTTCTAAAATATGTCTGTTGCTAAAAATAATTGTAGTGACTTCATATCTGTTCTGACCAGGGATGTTCAATATTATCGGTCTACCGTTAATAACGGCCAATGCCGGTTTTCAGGCTTTTAATGACACAACTTTTGCATACCATAGGGTTGTACATCAAACTCTCCAAATGTAAAAATATGACAGATCTGAGGTAAAGTGTTTGAGATATTTTAGTTTATTTGGCACAACTTGTGAAGTAGACATGTTCCCTGTGTAGTGAACATACACTGTCCTCAGCACCTAGCTATGTGTAGCTAGACTAGGGCTGGGACGGTAGTCAATAAGTTAATTAACGTACGATAGATGAAAATGAACTCAATAATTTTTCCAGCGCCAATATATGGAGGTTAAGAAATTCAATTCATTTCAATTCAAAAATACTTTATTAATGCCAGAGGGTAATTGATTGCTGTAGTAGCTCAGAATAATAATAATAATCAAGTCATCAAAGAGTTATTGTATATTACAATGGCTGTTGGCAGGAAGGATCTCCAGTAGCGGTCAGTGTTGCAGCCAAACTGAAGAAGCCTCTGACTGAAGACACTCTTCCGTTGTCGGACAGTCTTGTGAAGAGAATGCTCAGGGTTGTCCATCATGTTCATGATTCTCTGGAGAATCCTTCTTTGCATTATCTCCTCCAGCGGTTCCGAAACTGCCGAAACTCTGGCTGAGTCCTTGAAAGGGCTTGGAGTTCCTCCATCTTGTTGGCCAGTGATCTCACATTGCCCATTATGATCGATGGAAGAGATGGTTTGAATTTCCTCTTTCTCTGTTTTGCTCCCGCTCTGCACCCACGCTTCTTGCGTTTTAGCTCATTTGGGATTTGTGGCTTCAGTTGAGGTATTATTTCAGCCTTTCCAATGTTAATCAGCTGCTCCCGATTGTAAACCAGCTTGTTGCCATGGTTACGCATCATAACAAATGCTCAAAAAGTGAAAAAAGCTAAAAAATAGCAGTAAAAATCCTCCAAGCTTCACAGCACCAGAAACAGAAAAGTAAAGTGTCCAAAAAATACAGCTTTTCTTGAGAAACTAGAAGAAAAAATGCCCAAGAAAAGGCAAAACTTACATATAGTCAACAGAGTCACTCCAACATGCAGCCACCCAGAGCAGCGCAGTTCTGGAAAGTACAGCTCTATTATTATTATTATTATTATTATTATTATTATTATTATTATTTATCATTATTGAAGTGCAGTTGTGATTGTTGACTCTGGATAGGCCATTTTATTTAATGCTTTGGAGAAACGGGGTCCATTTGATTGTTTTTGGTGCAATATTTTCTAACAGAGAGTGAGAGTCCTTTTTTATTTTATTTTGTTTTGTTTGCTTTCAAATCAAATCAAATTTTATTTATATAGCACTTAATCATACAAAGAATGTAACTCAAAGTGCTTAACAAATTAAAAAGGCCCCGCATACCCACATTCCCTCCCATCCCCAGAATTTAAAAACAGTCTGTCAATAAAAACCCTTTCACAACACTCATCCTCCGGCGCGCACACACACACATGCACACACACACACACACACACACACACACACCCCACCCACCCACCGTGGAAAAAACACAATGGACTGAGTTCAGATGAGCCAGACCAGCTAAGATAAGGAAATGCCATCAGGGGAGCCATCCGCCCCGACAGCAGCAGATCCACAGCAGCAGCCGAGGCGCCGACACAGGGCGCCCAGGGAAGGGAGGGCGGAGACCCCCACCTCTACCTAGGCACACCTGGAAAGCACCCAGGCCCCCACAGCCGACCACCGCCCCGGGGGCAGAGGGCTCCCACAGAGGAAACACTAGAAAAAGGTTAAATTAAGGTTAAAATATAAAATAATAAGAGCTAAAATGAGAATTGTAATATAAAAAGTTATATAGATATTAAAATAATGTCGATCACAAATCTATATTTTAAAATATATATGTATAAATAAATAAAAACTTTTAAAAAGAATATTTATTTATTTCATGAGCACCACCTCACCCCTGCCACGTGGACCTCAAGGGATAAACCATCAACCCTGCTTAATGGTCAACGTTCCTCGCGGGGTCACCCGTAAAGACAGTGGGAGGGTTAAAGTTAGGTTATTTTGTACGTAAGTGACTGACATTCATAAAGTTGTGTTTTTGAGACTTTGAGGGATGTATTTGATGGGCTCAGTGAACCTGTTTCTAAAAATACCTCCTCTGTGACTCAGTCAGTGACTGTAAGGAAGTTTGTTTATTTAACTTAGTGGAACAATAATCCTTTTGTTTTCCTCTCAGATGTATTTCTAACGCGTCTATTTTTGTTGTGGGGGAAATCCAGGCTGATTAGAACTCACCTTTGTACTTCTTTAATGTACCGCGTGCGGATTAGGTAATGTAACCTAAAGGTGTGTGTGTGTGTGTGTGTGTGTGTGTGCGTGTGCTAGATATGTTCATCGGCCATTTTTGCAAGTGATAGAGGCCATGTTGGTGGCTGCAGTAACTGTGGCTGTGTCTTTCACGATGATCTACTTCTCTACTGACTGTCAGCCTTTGGGCCCAGAACACAGTGAGGAGTATCCTCTGCAGGTACACACACACACACACACACGCACGCACGCACACACACACACACACACACACACACACACACACGTCAGCTGCTGGTGATCACATGCACTGAAGCTAAAAAATACCCCCTTAAATCCGACATCCTCGAGGGTTTGAGGCGATTTAATCAGATTGTTTTTCTCACAGTGAATCTTGCAGCTTCCTTGTTTTTCTTTAAATGGTTTCATTTCATAAAGCTTAGCTTCAGTGTCATAAGAGCCAAATGACTAAAGTTTATTAAGAAAGACCAGTTATCATGTTTCTCCAGTTTGTGCAGCTATCAGCTGGACTTCTGAAGTTTTATCAGTTGTTTTGCCAAATAATCTTTAAGAATGTTTTTTCCTTGTCACCTTCTGTGTTCACATCTCTTCTGCTCCTGTCTGACTTTTCAGCTTTACTGTTTGTCGTCCCAGTTTGTGTCATTTTTCTCTCTAATTTTGTTTTTAAATTCCCTTTCCCAGTTGTTCTGTGCAGATGGAGAGTATAACTCCATGGCAAAAATCTTCTTCAACACTCCAGAGAGAAGCGTGCGGAGTCTCTTCCACAGTCAGCCCGGTGAGTCTGCGCTGGAGCCGGCTCTCTGCTGTGTAAACGATTGTTTATCAGCTAGAGGGAATAAAGCCTGATTCATGCTTCTGCGTCAGTGCGGAGACACGCAACGTCCTTGCGGGCCTGCTGGAGAGCTCCGCAAGGACGGACGGAGTCGAGCTCTCTTTTCTAAACATCCGTCCGTTGAGACGGAGAACGCAAGCTTGTGATTGGTCAGGACGCCGCTGTCGTCTACACCGCCGCCATTGCGCCCTCAAAAACATAAAGAGAGCCGAGGATAACTAGCGGCAGACACGGAGAAGCTTGAAGAATACCTCGCGAAAAAACTCTAAAAACATGAACGTTTAATTCTCCCGTGACTGGAGGAGTGAAAAGATACGCAGCAAGCGTTTTATTTGTGGACGGAAATGACAGGAAACGTGGGTTTAGAGGTGGTGAGCGCATGAAGCGGTGGAGGAGGATGAGAGACAAATTTGTCTGTTAAAAGTCTCTTATATACAAAAAAAACACAATATAAACACACTATCTTGGACCGATACATGACAGGATACCACAGAACAGCGCTACGCCCTCTGGTGTCCTGCCGGGGAATTGCTTTGCAACACTCTCCAGGAGATGGAGAAGTATGAGAGCACAACGCTTCCGTCAATCCGTGCGTGTCTGTCTTGCGGAGCTGACGGAGAAGCATGAATCAGGCTTAAGCGGGACGCACTATGTTTGATCGTGAAGATCGTTAATATAACAACATCAAAAATACTGATTCGAGACCTGCCTGGAGTCCACCTAAAAAGGCAAACATCTTCTCTGCTTTGAAGGAACCTACAACCCTCTGACTCTGGGTTTGTTCACTCTGACCTACTTCTTGTTGGCGTGTTGGACCTACGGCCTGTCGGTGTCGGCTGGAGTTTTCATCCCATCTCTCCTGATCGGAGCCGCCTGGGGGAGGCTGTGTGGAATATTGCTTGCCTCTATCACCTCAAGTGGCTCGGTTGGTGCCCAAGAAACCTTCTGGGTGGATTTTAAAAGCTCATTTTGTCCTTTAAATGAACGGGGAATGTAATTTTCTTTGGTTTGGTAGATCTGGGCTGATCCTGGTAAATATGCTCTGATTGGAGCTGCAGCTCAGTTAGGTGAGGAACTCCAGATGCTTGTATTTATGGGTGTGTATAAACAATGCATTCCTTAATAGTGTGCTGCTCTCTGTAGGAGGCATCGTGAGAATGACTCTCAGTCTCACTGTCATCATGGTGGAGGCGACAGGAAACGTCACGTACGGCCTTCCCATCATGCTCGTCCTCATGACTGCCAAGATAGTAGGAGACTACTTTCAAGAAGTAAGAAAGTTTGACGCCTGTCGGTCTTCGTAGCGCAGGTTCCTGTAATTGCAAAGCAGTCAGGTGTGTTTTTCTAACACCTCTTGCCCTTTTAAGGGGTTATATGACATCCACATCAAGCTGCAGAGCGTTCCCTTCCTGCACTGGGAGGCTCCTGGCACCTCCCACTGGCTGACTGCCAGGTAGGTCCAGTCGGACTTGTTGGGAACTCGGTGACGATTATTTTTAGGAATGAAGACATCCATTATAGAAAGTTTTTGGTTCCTTGTTGTGTGTTCGCCTCCCTCCTTCACATGTCTTCTCCCTTCGAATCCAGAGAGGTGATGAGCTCTCCCGTCACCTGTTTGAACAGAATAGAGAAGGTGGGGACCATCGTTGACATCCTCAGCGACACGTCCACCAATCACAACGGCTTCCCCGTTGTGGTGAAGGTTTCTCATAACAATGAGGTATTTGCTGCTAGGATTGAGGTTTGATGTAAAGGCAGGACGTGCTTTCTGATACTCCACGTCCTCCAGACTTAACTTTACTGATCATTCTTTCATCTCCCTCCCTCCCTCCCGTCAGCCGGCTAAGCTCTGCGGCCTCATCCTGCGCTCTCAGCTCATCGTTCTCCTCAAACACAAGGTAGCATCGCCGTGAGCCGTGGATAGTGTCAGCGCTTCTGTAAAGTCAAATTGGACTCCGACTCCATCCGTGTCCCACTCTTTCTCACCAGGTGTTCGTAGAGCTGGCTCGGTCCCGGCTGAACCAGAGAAAACTCCAGCTGAAAGATTTCAGGGATGCCTACCCCCGGTTCCCCCCAATCCAGAGCATCCACGTGTCCCAGGATGAGAGGGAGTGCATGATGGACCTCACCGAGTTTATGAACCCAACACCTTACACCGTACCACTGGTAGGACCGTGTGAAAGGACTTTTGACATTTATATTTTTAAACCCACTGACTGGGAATGATGTAAAACGATTAATATCAACCCATCAGGTGTGTTGGACACAGATAGTTTCCGTTGAAAGTCGTTTAGAGCTGAGTTGCATTCATGACTGCAGCACAGCACCGATCTCCATCAAACTCCATCTTTCCCTCACTCGTGAACAAGACCCCGAGATACTTAAAGGGGCATTATGGAGGTTTGACAGCCAAAACATGTATAGAAATAATAAATGTCTTCTTCATACATTCTCCTGCAATGCCCTGGTCCTGTAGAATGAGCCCTGGCATTTCTACTGTGATTGCCTGTTTTTCTGTAAAATCACAGAAAAAGAGAGATGCTCGGGTCGAGCAGGCTGCTTCATGCGCGTTCACGCTCAGGCATAGCCCGTAGCATTTGCTATCAGTAGCTTTAGCAGCAGAGAGAGAGGCAGTGCCAACTCGGCAACTTTGTCGCTGTTCCTAACGCCTAGTGACAAAGCTAGCTACATTTCTGAGGACCCTTAGCTACTTTCTGTAGAACTTTCTTCTAGATATTTCCTGCAAATTAGCAACAAAATAGCCATTTTCGCTCTGAGCCGTTCTTTGAATGTTGTTTCAGCTGTCATCAAGGATATAAATGTTACAGATACAAAAGATATCACTGGTGCTTTAGGTCACCTAGTAAGACGGCGGACTCTCGTGCAGAAGACCTGGGTTTGATTCTGGATGTGAACATAGTTTATTTAGAGTTTCTTTTTTACATTAATGGTATATTTTTTTACAGTAAGATGCCCACATTTTTATTTGAGACTCGCCGAACGGGCATTGAATTCACAGATAAAAAAGATGTGGGTTCAACTTTCATTTTGGAACAATTTTTCAAGCAAGGGACGGGAATGATCTGAGCATGCAGGAGGACTGACCCATCTTAAACCTTTGTCGGCTGTGCTGAAGAGAAAGGTACAGAACCAAATTATTTAATTAATTAGCTGCGCATTCTCCTGTCCTCTGTCCTCCGGACCACACACACACACACACACGCATGCACGCACGCACGCACGGACGGACGCACGGACGGACGGAACTGTCTCAGCTGTTATTTTCGTTAAGGAGTGTGCACGTACAGCATGCGCGCCTCGTGCACGAGCCTACTATTGAAGCTGCCGTTACGCTTTTGGCCAGAGGGGGCAATCGTGAGCATAAAAATTCAAACCTCCGTAAAGTCCCGTTAAACTCCTCCACTTGAGGCAGGACTCTGTCCCTGACTCGGAGAAGGCATTCTGCCCTTTTCCGAGTCAAGACCATGGTCTTGGATTTAGAGGAGCCGATTCTCATCCCAGCCGCTTCACACTCAGCTGCGATCCGCTCCAATGAGAGCTGGAGATCACAGTCTGATGAAGCCAACAGGACCACATCATCTGCTAAAAGCAGAGAGCCGATCCTTAGGCCGCCAAAACGAATCCGTCATCACCTTGGCTGCGCCTAGAAGGCCTGTCCATAAGTTATGTAGGCTGGAGCAGTTTTAGGATATTTTACACGACCGTTTTTCTTTTCCAGGACACATCTCTGCCTCGTGTGTTTAAGCTCTTCAGAGCTCTGGGACTCAGACACCTGGTGGTAGCAGATGATGAGAACAGGGTGAGTGTGTGTCTCTGTTACGATGTGGAGTTTTCATTTACATATTCAACTTTAATTATGGGTAATCTAAAGCTTTTGTGCTTTAACTCTCTGCAGGTGGTTGGACTGGTGACCAGGAAGGACCTAGCCAGGTATCACCTGGGCAAACACGGACTGGAGGAGCTTCATTTGGCTCAGACATAACACACACACACACACACACACACACACGCACTAAAACCACCTGATGCCTCTGAGACCACCTGAGTCCTTCTCTGTTGAAAATCTCCACGTGAAATCGGTCTGAAAACATCCTGATAACTTTTTTAAATGTTCATTTTCATTGTAGTTTCTTTGAATTTTTCATTCTTTGCGCATCGTTTTAATTGACATTGTTGCATTAATTTGGATTAAATAACGAGAAAAACAGAAATAAGCTGATGTGAGTGAATAGAATTTTTTATTGACCAAAACATTTGTTTGTTTTAATTTGTCCTCTCATGGCAAAAAACTTTCATGGTTAATAATATAATTGAATGATAAGAAATTCAAAATGTTTTTCTCCTTTGATTAAAGTTAAATTATGGGTGTTTGCTGTTTCTTGCTCCCCCGTTTGTGTTTTTACATCCTATAATTCGTTTGTTCCATCACTTATTTTTGCCTGATGACAAACTTCTTTCAGCTCTTTATTTTTTTCGTACGACTGTCAGAAATAATCAGATCAACTCTCAAAGGTACAGACTTATGTTTTCAAATGACCTCCAAATGTTTGCACTTTGACCTCCTTGAGATTCTTATCCAAAAATGTTCCTCATGCTGTCCTGTGTGAATGTACAGCTTTAACACATGTACTAATTCATGTCACCCAACAGAATATTTCAGGTAATTACATCTCCTTGGTTATCAGTATTATTATTTAGCATACTTGAACCCTTCTTTGATTTTGTTATGTGGTCTTATTGTAAAGAATGTAAAAATGTCTAATTGTCTCTTTTATAACCACTGAACAAGCCTTTGTGAATTAATAAAGTTGAAATCTTATCTATTGTAAAATAAAATGGTAAATTCTTTTGTAAAGTCTGCAGAAGAGAGGAAAGCAGCTGTGCCATGGCTCCTACTGTCAGCACTCCTGCATCTTTAAATCAGGCCGCATAATCCTGGTATGAAAATGAAGTGGCAAAAATTGCAGTTCCACCGTCATCCACTAGGGGCTGGCTCCAGAAGTGAGCAAATCCTCATTGACTCCCATGTTAATGCCATTTTCACAGCAGAAATAAACATGTTTACAGCCTGTTTCAAAACCCATTTTAGGTTTAATAGATTTTATTTTATTTAACCTTTATTTATCCAGATGAGTCGATTGAGAGCTCATTCTCATTTACAACGACGATATGGCTGAGAGGCAGCAGCAGCAGACACAGTTAGTTTTACATCAAAGAAAAACAGGTAAGATAAAAATAAGATAAAACAACTGGACAAAGACAAAGGACTGTTCTCATATATAATGTGTACAAGCAATCAAAACAGACTTAAAACAATCAGACAAGAGAAGTGATCAGAAACTATTGTTTGCAATGGATTATTGAAGGTTGGTATTGGAATGTAGGTCGTGAGCTTCAGTGACTTGCAGCTCATTCCAGTCTTTGGAAGCAGCAAACTGGAATGAGGAGCGAGTTTTGGGAATAACCATAGTGATGAAGTTATTGGAATGTAAATTGTGCTGGTTGTGGGAAGTAATGAGTAATACTTTTGTTTAATGAAGATGAAGGTTGAAGACAATCGATGTTGTGCTGTAAGGAGGACAAAGCTGCATTCAAAGAACAAATGCATGAATATAAAATGGTGTCATCCGCATATAAATGTATATGAGAACTGTCAACAGCATGAACAATGTTATTAAAGATTTTGAATAAGGTTGGGCCCAGTATCAACCCTTGAGGAATGCCCATAGATAGAGGTAGAGGAGCAGATTGGTAACCCTCTGTTCTCACTGTTTGTGTACCACCTAAAATATTACTGTCCAGTATGCGGCAGTCCTGTGGGTGAAAATGCCTTGTTGATGCTGGAGGTCAGAGGAGAATGGGCCGGCTGATTCAAGCTGATAGAAGAGCAACTTTGACTGAAATAACCACTCGTTACAACCGAGGAATGCAGCAAAGCATTTGTGAAGCCACAACACGCACAACCATGAGGTGGATGGGCTGCAACAGCAGAAGACCCCACCGGGTACCACTCGTCTCCACTACAAATAGGAAAAAGAGGCTACAGTTTGCACCAGCTCACCAAAATTGGACAGTTAAAGACTGGAAAAATGTTACCTGGTCTGATGAGTCTCCATTTCTGTTGAGACATTCAAATGGTAGAGTCAAAATTTGGCGTAAACAGAATGAGAGCATGGATCCATCATGCCTTGTTACCACTATGCAGGCTGGTGGTGGTGGTGTCATGGTGTGGGGGATGTTTTCTTGGCATGCTTTAGGCCCCTTAGTGCCAACTGGGCATGGTTTAAATGCCACGGGCTACCTGAGCATTGTTTCTGACCATGTCCATCCCTTCATGACCACCATACCCATCCTCTGATGGCTACTTCCAGCAGGATAATGCACCATGTCATAAAGTTCAATCATTTCAAAATGGTTTCTTGAACGTGACAATGAGTTCACTGTACTACAACGGCCCCCACAGTCACCAGATCTCAACCCGATAGAGCGTCTTTGGGATGTGGTGGAACGGGAGCTTCATGCCCTGGATGTGCATCCCACACATCTCCATCAACTGCAAGATGCTATCTTATCAATATGGGGCCAACATTTGGAGAAGGCTTTCAGCACCTTGTTGAATCAACGCCACGTAGAATTCAGGCAGTTCTGAAGACGAAAGGGGGTCAAACACTGAACTTTAGTTTTGTTCTCTATGTGTTCGTGTTTGGATTTTAATCGTGGAAATATTTGGACACAGAAGGCAAGCTGTCGTTACTAACAGATCATCCAAGCAGTTTCTGCTTCAGCTTCATGTTCTTTTTTGTTATGCAAAAACAAATTAAAACAAACAAATGTTCTGGTCAATAAAAAAAAATTCTGCCATCGACAATAGTACACTCGCGGATCTTTGACAGCAGTGGACCAGCGAAGCCCAATATCCTCAGTCAGCTTACCTAGGTATGATTTTGTTATAACAGGCCGGAGGTGCCTTCACGTTGGAGCCGCTCTACTGCATTTTTCTTGCTAAAAACGCCCGGAAAAACTTTGTTAGCTTTGGGTAAGCATGTAGCTGATGTCTCGCTGATCTCTGACCATGGAGCAAAAGCTGATGTAAAAGGCCAAGGCTACGATCGCAGCTGTCTGAGGCTCTGCTTGTAATTTAACAGACCTGGTCCATATTAGATCTCCACAGGCAGCCAGCATGACTACAACCTCGCACGAGAGCCAGCCGGCCGTGCAGGTGGGATACTCGAGTTCCCGGAGCCCTTCTTACCTTCTTGGATTAGCTAAGCCAGCTAGCAGCTACACTGGTTCATTTGTTCCATTCCTGTTCCAAATGTAATGGCCCTACCCTCAGCTCCATCTCTTTTCCCATTTTTGAATTGTCTGGGCATGATGGGCGTGACATTACAACAATTGGAGGTATGCTGTGTGTATATGCAGGGGTGGACTGGCCTATCTGGCATTCTGGCACTGTCCCGGTGGGCCGCTTAGCCAAGTGGGCCACTTACCCGGCTTGGGCCGTCCCAAACCAAGCCCCCATCTCACATGTGGTTATATAGACAAGTCCGCGAGCAGTACACACAACACCCCATCCCTCCCCCCACATTTGACGGGATAGACGAGTCGCGAGCAGGAACCTTCCCTGCCGAGGGCTGACGGTACATAAAAATGCCAGGGCCAAATTTTGGTCCCAGTCCACCCCGTGTATGTGTGTACGCTTTTAACGTTTGTTAGCTGCTTGGGGTAGGACGGGGGTGCAGGTACAGTCTGTGTCACTCACTTCAGCTTCTCCAAGAAGGAGATGGCTCTGATCAGCTCTAAAGCCTGATTAACACAGATCCATCAGCTCCGCAAGGGGGAGAAGCACACGCATGCAAAGCAATTCCCCATCCGGGCAACAGAGGGCGTAGCGCTTTTCTGTGGTATCATGCTACCATAACACTCGTGTGTTTTTATATTTCAGAGACTTTATAACAGACTAATTTGTCCTTTGTTCATCTCCACCTCTTCATGCGGTTGCCACCTGTAAGCCATGCTCTTCCGTCCACGAATAAAACGTTTGCTCCGTATTTTATTCACCTTTGGTCACAGGGGAATAAACGTTCAAAATTTCAGACTTTTTCCACGAGGCGCTCTTCAATCAGTTCTGGGTCTGCCACTTAATACGTTTTTACTTTTTAACGGGGCAATGGCAGAGCTGTTGACAAATTTACAGGAAGCGCGTCCTGAACAATCACAAGCTTGCGGACTCCATCACTTTTAACGGCTATTTAAAACGTGGGTGTGTCTCCGTCAACCTCTGCGAGCCCTTGCGCTGACGCGGGATGGCGCTGCGTTTCTCCGCACCAACGCAGACAGAGAAGTATAAATTAGGCTTAAGGGTCATTTCGTTCGTGACCTACACATCACTGGTGGGGCCTTCAGAAAGCCTGACACCGCTGAGCTTCATTCAACTACATTGTAATAACGTGCCACTTTACATGCCCAGTAACGGTAACGACGTTGACAAAAGTAATTCATCAGATTACTTTGTTACTTAAAAAGTAACGCCATTATACACAAACACCATTATTTCCAACACTGGTCCTGTCAGAGTGGGTGGGGCAAACCACTGTAGGGCTTTAGAATGGGTTTGTGTTTGGCCCTTTGTTAGGGCTCCTGGGTCATGTTGAGCCCCAACATAGTTTTACATCAGGGATTGTGTCTACATTTTTATCCATGTGAATAATCTGGGGAATTCTAAGATAATAAAATAACTCATTTGTTTGAACATGGGAGAATAAAACACAGGGAAGCTGTCGACCATATCATCTACTACGACAGCTGGATAATCTCTAGATGACAAATTAAGGAGGTGTAAGTGCAGACGGGTGTGAAAGGGAGAGCTTGTGTACCGGAAGAGTAACCCTTTTGTATTCTGTAGAACTACAACCTCCATCACTGCATCAGGGGTTTTCTCGGAGAAGAGGGGGAACCTAAATGAGGGCATAGGGTGGATAAAATTGTTCATAGTAAAACAGGGAGAAGAATTAAAGTCATAAGTGAAGAATAGTGCTGAAAGGGCGTGGCCACCAAAAGACACAGAGAGAACACAAATGAGATGAGGACAAAGCAGAAAGGGAGAGAGGGAGTTGACACTGATGGATAAATGGAGCAGAGAGTGGACACCATGTGGGAATTTGGAAAAGTGAAGACGGATGAAGCATAAAAAGCTTGATCTGAGTTGAGTTGCAGGAGTAGTCAAGGAGATGCAAGGAGTGAGCTAGGGAGTGGAAGGAGAGAGAGAGAGTTAGGGAGGGGGTGGTAAAGGATGAGCTCATTGCAGTCGCTGGGCTGATGACGCAAGGAGGGGAAGGAGGAGGGAGGGGTTCCATGCTTGTCTGCGAATCGATAGCCAGCGTCTGAGAGCATCACACACACACACACACACACACACACACACACACACACACACACACACACACACACACACACACACACACACACACACACACACACACACACACACACACACTGCAGACAGCTCTGCCGGCAAAAGCAGCATTCCACTGCTGTGAGATCCCTGCATCCTACTGGAGGCACACAGAAAAACCAAACAGGACCAAAACGCTCAGACTTTATTCAAATATTTAGATTTTTTTCCTTCTCCGTTAATGTCTAGTTTAGGAAAGACAAGAGGAAGTAGAAACCAGCTGATTCTCATGTCTGCTGCTTCTCCCTCTCCCTCCCTCCATCCTAGCTCTCTCTCACACTCACATCACTCCCACACCCACACCCAAGGATACCCTCTCCGCTGCTGCTTCGCTCACATCCCTCTCTTTTAATCTTTCCTCCCCAACCACATCTAAATACATTTGTTTTTTTTTATTGTAAAGAAGATGTTTGCCTGAGTCCTTTTTTCCCCAAAACACTTCTGTGGATGCTCTTCTTTCCCCGTTCCTTCTATCCTACTTTTGGTGCTACCTGTGGAAGTCCGTCGGTGTTCCGGTTCTGTTTCAGCCCCTGCAGAGAGAAAGCATGCTGGGATTGGACGTGTGCGAGTTTGGGGGTCAGGTGCTGGAGCTGCTGTGGATATCCATGTGCTACAGAGGTAAGGCAATGGTGGAAAGTGTGTGTGTGTGTGTGTGTGTGTGTGTGTGTGTGTGTGTGTGTGTGTGTGTGTGTGTGTGTGTGTGTGTGTGTGTGTGTGTGTCAGTTGTTAAAGTTATATTGACTATTTTAATGACATCTGTTTGGAGAATATCACAATAAGATTTGAATTTTGCGTGAATCTTTTGTGTAAAGTGTGTGTGTGAGAGAGAGACACACACAGAAAACACACACATAGCTGTCTCTTTCCTGACGGGTGTGGACAGTTTTATGTCTAGCCAAGAGAAGCCGACGGTGATCACATCCTGCTATATTTCCTATGTGTGTGTTCATGCAAGCAGTCTTCAGCCTTTGTAATTGACATTGTTAATTCAAGAGTCTGTAAGCATGATGATACAGCAGAAGCAGGAGTCAAATGATGTCACCAGTGTCTGCTCCCAGATCTATCCATGTGCTCTGCTACAGCACAGTGTATATAGGTGTGTGTGCGTGTGTGTGTGAGTTATGCTGCAGTAGTGCTGAAGAGTAGATGGAGGATCTGTGTTGGGGGTTCCCCTCATACAGCTGTGTGGATAAGTGTGTAACTTGTGTGACTTCAAAGAAGGAAAACACTCAGCAGGATGCAGATTGAGAGCGAGGAAAGATAACCAATCAGAGTTAGTGATGAAAAAATATGATGCAGTATCAGTTACGAAAAATGTTGACAATGTGCAGTTTTTACCGTTAATCTCTGGAAATGTCTATAGAAATGTTGGAAATGAATTAAACGATGCCCAGTTGTTGAAAAATGTTGGTGGCTTTGTAACACATAGCCATAAAAATCAGGTTTAAAATACATGCGAGCGGGCCTAAGTCTCTGGGTGACGCCATTTTAGATGTCATGTGTCCTTCTACGAGAGCCTGTGAGGACAAAACACGTTTGCTGATTTATAAAAAACGGTTACAAAACAATCTCCATTCATAAACGTTGTTGTTTTACACTTTTAGCAATTCACTAGTTGTCAGTTGTGTTTGTCATCTTACTGGAGGCTGCGCTCCCACGATTTTTGACCCTAATGGGCATCCGTTGGTAAGATCTTACTCCAACACAAAAATAGAAGAAGAAGAAGAAGAAGAAGAAGAAGAAGAAGAAGAAGAAGAAGAAGAAGAAGAAGAAGAAGAAGAAGAAAATATCATTTCTATAGCGCCTCTCAAGATAAAAAATCACGAGGCGCTTCACAAAAACAAAAAATGTAAAAATATAAAAAGCATTTAGAAAATGTTTAAACATTTATTTAAAATGAGCAAAAAGGGACAATTGTGATAAAAAATGTTAAGAAAGAGAGAGAGTGAACAGGAAAGAGGGAAATCAGTGGATCCTGAGGAAGGAGGAATAGGTGGTGAGGGCAGAATAAAGAGAGAGTGGTGAAGAAGGTCATACAAAAGCCAGCTTGAACAAGTGAGTCTTCAGCTGCTTTTTAAAGGAGACCACTGAGTCCACTGATCTCAGGCTCAGGGGGAGAGAGTTCCAGAGTCTGGGGGCCACAGCAGCAAATGATCTGTCACCTTTGGTCTTTAGCCTGGTGCTGCACAACCAGTAGGCTTTGATCACTGGACCTCAGGGACCTGCTGGGGGTGTAGGGACTAAGAAGATCACCAATGTAAGATGGTGCTTGTCCATGTAAGGCCCTATAGACCAGAACCAGGATCTTGAAATAAACCCTGAAGTTGACTGGCAGCCAGTGAAGCTGGAGGAGAAGCAGGGTGATGTGGGTGTGTTTGGAGGACTTGGTCAGAAGCCGAGAACAGGCATTCTGAACCACCTGTAGACGGTTCAGGGAGGTTCTGCTCAGACACGTGAAAAGAGAGTTACAGTAGTCTAAGCGTGAGGAGATGAAGGTGTGGAGAACTGTCTCAAGTTCATAGCGGGACAGAATGGGACTCAGCTTAGCAATGTTCCTGAGATGGAAGAAGGAAGAGCGAACAAGAGAACTGACATGAGAATCCAGGGTGAGCGCTGGGTCAAAGGTCACACCAAGATTCCTGACGGAAGGTTTGGTATGGGAAGCAAGCTGACCAAGAGAGTCTCTGACTTTGGGAACCAGCTTGTCTGGGGCACAGATGAGGATCTCAGTCTTGTCTTCATTCAGCTGAAGAAAGCTCCCAGCCATCCAGGTTTTGATAGAGTCTAAGCAGGTGTGTAACAGCTGCAGCTTCGACATCTCATGAGGCTTGAAAGAGATATACAGTTGGATGTCATCTGCATAAAGATGGTAGGAGATTCCTTTGAAGGAGCTCAGGATGTGCTGAAGAGGAAGCAGATATAGGAGGAAGAGCAGAGGCCCCAGCACAGAACCTTGTGGGACACCATGGGTAAGAGAGGTGGTGGAGGACCTAAACTTGGAGACGGCCACAGAAAAGGAGCGCTCAGAGATATAAGACGAGAATCACTGCTTGCTTGCGATGATTTAGGTATGCACTGCCTCCTATCGACAGGGAAAACAATTTAAAGCAGCAATCCAGAGTTTTCTCCTTTCAGGAATTCTGTACTGTGATATAATGTAGGCAAAAAGTCAAAATTTTATATATAAATAAATAAATTATCATGTTTTTGTGAGGTGACCTTGGGTTTTGAAAGGCACTTTCAAATTAAATGTATTATTTTTACTATAAAAAGTGTAATGTGAAAATGATAAATGTAAATCAAAGGGGTTTAGCTCTGTTGGCCGGCTAGAGGTGCACACTAAAGAAGAAGAGGCACTGCTTCCAGCCGTAATCACAGAAGTAGGGAGATAGGCTTAAAGGTGCCGTGCATTTTTTCTACTTCTAGATGGAGCCATCTGAGAAAAAACAGTGCCATAAAAGTACAGATCCATCCATCCATCCATCTTTCACTTATCCAAGGTTGGTTCATGGAGGTAACAGATCCAGGAGTGAAACCCAAACACCCCTCTCCACCTCCTCCTGGTAGACCCTAACATGCCCCCAGGTAAGAGAGGAAATATGATCCCACCTGCCAGGTCAGGGTCAGAGAAGAAGATGACCAAGAGGTGTCCTTATCAGACCAAACTGCCCCAGCTTGCCCTCCATCTCCAAGGCTGAGGACAGTCAAAAGCATCTGAGACACCATTCTTTAGGGTCATGGTTCAAATCTCATGGCCACAGGTGAGGACTGGGATCTAGACTACCTCTGGACTCAGCTCCTTCACACAATAGACCAGATAAATCCTCATCTATTGGTTCATCTATTGTTCCATCCCACCAATCATCACAAACGGGACACTTAAATACTTAAATTCCTTCATAGGCTATCTCGCTGAGGAGGTTTCTTCTTCTTTACTCTGCTTTCTATCTTAGTGGTAGAGGGACTAGAGTACCTTCTCTGATCCCTGGGGTTGTGTGGTCATAGGCATCCGCCCTTGAGTGGGGTCTCCCATGAAAAAGCATCCTCAGGGCAAGGGTTAAACTAAGGGTGGTTTAATGTCCTTGATAGAAGACGATCACTTAGGGACAATTTTAAAGAAAACATCATAAATCAAGAGGAAAGGTGTTTTCTTCACTGGAAAACCAGCAGATATTCTGATAGAAACACTCACAAAAATGATTAATTGATCAAAAATAATCTATTCGTGTTTTTGTTTGTTTTTTTAAACTAGTTATTGCACAAAGTTGAAAAACAAGAGATTTCTCACATGTCTGTGCATTTTTCTCTTCATGACACATCAAAACCGCGTCAGACATTCGGCCATAAAGAGTTGACAAAAAGAGGCAGATTGTGATGAGAACGTAGGAGGCATGAGCAGGATGTAAATGCCAGGACGGATGCCAGGAAAGAACAGAAGCCAGAAAAAAAGACTAAATAAAAAGAAAAAAGAGCCTTTGTTGGAACAGTTAAAAACAAAAATGATCTAATAAAGGTGGACCAGTTCTATTCCTTTACAGATTGCATGAGAGTTCATCCAACCCATCTACATCAGTTTAGTAGACTTGGAATAAGCATTCGACTGTGTCGCTCAAGGAGTCTTGTGAGGGCTACCTCAGGAGAATTGGGTACCAGGCTCCTGATATGGCTGTTAGGTCCCCGTACGATCGGTGTCAGAGCTTGGTCTGCATTGCCGACAGTAAGTCAGGGTCGTTTCTGGTGAGACTCTGCCAAGGCTGGCCTCTGTAACAGAATCTATCGAGGTCTTGACCCTACTAGCCGTTAGCTAGTCTGGTCAAATCTAAACTTTGTGGTTCAAAAAGCTTTTTACATCTGGAAAATGAAAAAGAGCCTGTATTTAACAAGGGTTATACAACCCCCCAAGGCGCTTTACAAAACAGTTATTCACCCATGCACACGCATATTCACTTGCTGGTGGTGATGAACTACAATGTAGCTGTCATGGAGCTCACTGACAGAAGCAAGGCTGCTGTGCAATGGCGCCACTGGTCTTTCTGACCACCACCAGAAGGCAAAGAAGTTGAGTTTCTTGCCCAAAGGCACAACGACTGCAACAAATGGGACTTGAACCCGCAACCCTTTAGTTATGCGTGGGCACTTAACTTGTCTGCCACCATCCATCAATAAGAAATTAAAGGTTCTATACTAGGGATGTGTTTTGGTGAAATAATGGCGATACGATACGTATCACGATACAGGGCAGACGATACGATCTATCACGATATACTGCGACACATTCAGTCAGACAATATTAGCGATTTTTTAGACTGAATTTATTGTATGTGTAGCGTGATGATTTATTTTATGATTGACACTACATAATAATTATGACCAATAAGATGTGATGATTCCATTTAAATATGAAATGTCAACCTGATTGATCTTTGAATGTTTAATCAGAAGATTCTAGGGTTCTTTGCTTCTTCAGGGACCATAAACACACTTCGTATTAATTCAGACAGAGTCAGTGTATAGTTTATAAAATTAATTTAATTATTTTCCTGAACCAATGATTATGCATGACAAGATATGAATAATGAGATGTAATGTGAAGCGTGAGGTGGTGTGATGGAAGCTAG